AAAGATTCTCGCAGGCCCGCTCTTAGTGGCCAGGAGCTGACAGGGACGTCCTTGGGAGCGCTACACACACTGTCTGGCAGCGAGACGAATCCAATATCAATATCAGGACGGAGTATATGTAGCAAGCAGAAAGGGGGAGTGTGTCTGTCTGTCTGTCAGATACCTAGGACAAGAGCGGGTACCAGCAGCGCTACGGAGCGAAGCCGCAGTCCTCCGTATTACTGCTACTGTCTGGCTGGCCAGCACAGTTCGCAGAGCAATTCAGGCGGTGAATTGGCAATTGGATTGATTGGGGGTGGGCGACCAGGGTTGACAGCAGAGTTGAGTTGGGACCCAACTTGTGACTCCCATGTCGAGAGGACCCTTTGTGCGAAATGGGTTACGCAAGACGGAGAGTGGTTGTTCTGCCAGTCCCCACGAGTGGGAGAGGTACATGCTGGCGGCGCAGAGACAGGTAGCGGGTACATTCATGTCTACTTCCGCCTAGGTACTGCATGCTAGGTACCATCATTCAAGGCCCTTGAGGACTTGTTTCAAGCAGTAATTAACACTTTCAACAGTACATGTACCACCACCGCTCTCTCTTCTTGGCCCTCATGGGTACAATATCTACGTTGACAGCCAAAGGGTTGCTACAGGTACCGAGCACACACCAAGCATTTCCATGCATGCACGCACTGACACGTACTGACGTCCACAGATACAGTCGATTCTGTCTGGTATGTGCAGATATGCGTCTGCAGCTGCAGTACTGATACGGGCAGCGCGAGTACCGGGTACCTCCTCGCAAGTACACCCCTGCGCACTCCGCCCCCTGTTCGGTTGGTCTGTTCGCAATTCCCGCCAAGACGCCCGTGCGAGAACCTGTCGACAGGTACTGGGTACCGCAACACGTACACACACAGGCCCAAGGACGAGCACAAGGACAAGCACCCACACACATGGAGCTCTGCTTCTTCATACGCCCCCGGAGCTGGCAACCCTCGTGCTGGTTGGGGGCTAGGCAAACGCAGAGCAGCAATAAAAAATAAAAACAAAAATAAGATAAAATCAGAAGGAGAGCAATAAGGGTAAAAACGGGCAGCGAGGGGTGGAGGGAGTGCCAGATCGGTCATGTCCCCTTTCGCTCTCGCAACAGCTTACAGTAGCATGGCTATCCTGGTCCCCTGCTGCCGGGCCCTTTTCTTCTGCCCTCTTCCCCTCCCCACGATAACCCGGCGATGGACGGACGATTCTCAGAAGCACTCCATGCTTGCTGTGCTACTAGACCTGCAGTGCCTTTGTTTACAGAGGCCAGTGTTACCGCGGTGCCGTGCATGTCCCAGGCCGAACAGAGCACACGACGGTGCGACTACCAAGGACTAAGCAATTCCGAGTACAGTAGCGCTGTAGATGTTTAATCCCAGCGTCAGCCACGATAGCGCCATGCAGCCCGAAACTGGCTGAGTGGGCTGCGAGCATTCTGCATGTCCGAGGGAAAGATGGAGAAGTACGAGTAAAGCAGGCCGGAAAAACAAAAAAAAGGGAAAAAGAAAAAAAAGGATATCAGCGCAAGGGCCAGAAGGCAAAGTGGAAACGACACAGGGCTCGTTCGGGTTGCCTCTGTCAACATCTCGGAAGGCTGCATGTCGGCTGCGAAACCTGGCGACTGATTACACGGACAAAAATGGAATATGGGCTACGAATTGATTATGGCATCCATGGATGGCTTATGGGTACCGCGAGATGGAGATGCAGACGGAGCAGCCGCTGGCCAGTCCTGTCCTGACAGCTACTCGTACAGCATTGCTCCAGTATTGGCCATTGTCGACACCACTGTAAGACGGTAGCATCTCCTCTGTTCGGCCGTATACGCCGTGCCATCTGGCGCGTACGGAGTCGCCAAACGAAGCTGTCTAGCTCTGGAGCTCTCACGCGCTCCGCCGGTTGTGTACAATGCGAGGTCGGGTGTCATCAACAACGCTTTTGGCTGAGGCGCCACGCCAGAGCCGCGGCGGCGGGGACTCGCAATTTGGAAAAGACGATCAATGCCAGTGACGCCATAGCAGAGACCCCTTATGAGGTGCCAGCAAAGACACCCGGGCTGTACCTAGTACCAGGTAGCGCTGCTGGGGCGGCCGGCCTGGCACGTGCTACCCCCGGAAAGATAGCTGTCCACACTGTACTTTGCCGCGATATTGTGCACATATACAGTGTGCAACAAAATGTGACAGCACGGTATTGCGGATACCTGCCAGCGGCGACCAGTAGCAGGTACCAGCCAGGCGCTCCTAATCCCTGGACCCCTCCTAAAGCACAATCCATGCCTCTCCGTCACCCGTCGCCAAGGTACCAAGGTACATACTAGAGGCACTTGGCGACCTCTCCCCACTTGCTGCGTGCAGTGCAGTCCGATTTTTTTTCTCTCTTCTCATCCATCCCCCTCTCGGCAGATTAGCTCGCCAGCCTGAGCGAGGGTCATGTCAGAAGATGGTTGGACAGATATGCTGCCACCCATTACGAGCTTCCCAGCGATCAGCGGTGTTTCTGCACCAGCCAAAGTATGCAGCAGCATGACAAGGGCGGCCTCGGCGGTGCTCACTCACCCCAGGAGACCTTGGACCTTGGCAGCCCTGCCCTGATACTGTACTATCTATCTACAGCAGGCTTTGCTGCTCTTCTTTGCCATCACGACAGTTGACTCGACTTCGATTTCCCCGACGTCATGCCCTGACTCATTACTAATCTGCTGCCCAAGGGTCAAGGGTCGATAGCGGATAGCCGCACCAGCTACGCGACTGCTAGCTCCCACGGACTGCTCCGTAGTCTGGCAAATTTTCTCTTCCTCCACTCTGCACGACGCGATAAAAGACACCGGTCAACCGCGGCGTCGCAGCCGGCGATGCTGGTCCATCCCGCGCTGCGTCCGTGAAAGGAAGGGGGTGGGCGGACTGGCATTGAGGCCTCGAGGGAAACGATATGATGGACCGCGAGGCGTCTCTTTCGCTCCTCAACCCCTGCCAGTATCGAGTTGGTGCCTCACCCAACGCTCTCGGAAACGAGCCTTGCCCGGACAGGCAATCTCCCAGAAAATGAGCTTGACGTCGGCCCCGCCTGATGTCATGGATCGGCCGCCTTTGTCCAACAGAAATGCTGGAAGCCACCGCTCCACCACTCCCGCCCCAACCGCTTCATGGAGCGCCAGAGCCTGCGTGACTCGCAAACCCCTCGCTGCCACGAAACTCCCCTGCTTGGTATACAGTGCGCCGTCTGGCCTTTGCACTTGTTTCTGGCGTCACAGGTCTTCTCAGCCACGGAGTTGCGTCCGGAATCGTGAATGCCTTGCCTTGTTGATGCCAGAGATTCAGCTGTTCGCCCCGTCTCAATCGTGTTCGCCTCACTTCAAGGGCTAACATGACTGATGATGGCATGGCAAACGAGATTCGCCACGACCCTCATCATGCGGTTCGTCAGGATTCATGGGTGATGCCGTCTAAGCTGCTGGATGCCTCACACAGCTATGGGTGCGACTCGCACATCAGATGCCCTACCCCCGAGACACCTTCCCAAACCATAACTCAAACTTCTTACCTTACGGGGGGTGTTCTTTTTTTTCTTACTCTTTTATTTTTATCCTTTTTATTTTTCTTTCCTTCTTTTCTTTTTTAAGAAACGATGGGGGCATAAAATGCGCACCTGTTTGATGCCTGACGCTGCGCTTGATTATGCCTCACTCTTCGCCGGCTGCCTGCTTGCCTAGCCGCCAAGCATACAGTAAAGCCGCTGTTACCATTCTCTCCACTGCGTTGCCGTCATGATGAGTGCTGCGGATCTTTTGCTTCGTCTGCCTGTTCGTTCGTGATGCTCAGTTTCGCCTTCTGTTGCCAGCCCTGGTGCCGGTATTTCTCTTTCGTACTAGCCGAGGGCTCTCTCCTGAGCCATGCCGCCGTCACGCTACAGTCCTACCTTTAATCGCGGCTCGCCAAACAGCTGTTCATGGATCGACAAGTTTGTGTGAAGTGCTACTCCTTTGTATCCAATCACACAATCCCGTACGACCAACAACACCCTTTTTTTCCCTCATGGCCTTCTCTGATCGGCCACCTCCACCCACCTCTTTTCACTTTGACAAACTCTCAAACAACAAGCTGCGTGCCATGGTTCGGCTTGCTATTGATCCTCACCGAAAGCACAGCCCTAGTTGTCGTTCCGCCTATCAAACCCTGGACTTCCCCATCATCATACAAACCTAGAGTCGTGCAAGCACAGTATCCTTTCTGCCGGTCCTCGTGACAATGGCCGGTCTATGCGGTGGAACCACACGAGAAAAAGCATTGTTTCAGCGACCTCTCGGCAGCGGCTTTGCCGTCGTCTGGCTTTGCTAATGGCTTACTAAGTCGTCTTGGTGCTTCCATCGTGGACTGGTATTGGCTTCACTGAACTCGTAGGTTCGATCAATTAGACGTACAGCTGTCTGGATAAATCGTTGAACTCGTGGTGCGAATGCCAAGGCTCCTTCGACGCCGGGTTTCCTTGGTCATCTAGTCAAGTAGCAGCACTAGCTGCCGCAAGTTGATGTCCGACTCATTGCCCGTGCGAATGGTGTCCGGGGGCCCGGCTCTCATCTGCCCTGGAGGAGAGCAGAAAAGAGCGGCAAGCTGAAAATCTTATTTGACTGACTGTGTCCAGACTATGGTCCCCGTCTCAGCCACGTCTTTGAGCCATCCCGCCCGCCCTTGCTGGTGATTAGTGTCGCCTGGGATAGGTTAGGTTTAACGTTGTACTACGGGCCGTTTAAATCCATCGTGTAACGCAAAAGCTGTCGTCGGTTCGCAATGAGAGGCCGCCCTCTTAGCTGCTGGAGCACTTTACCAGAGGCTGCCTGCATACGCCCACAGCTCTGCTATCCGCGATTGGCTTACGAGGTTGTGATGGAGGCAGGAAGCATGCACGACGATAACAGTCACACTGTCCAGTCATCATCAAGGGGTCACCAGCAGCAAACCAAGGGGTTCGTAGGTGGGAGGGTTGTCAGCGCATGACAATCGTTGTGGTTCACAGCCGCATGCCGCGGGCCTATCTGAAACGAGAATGTGAAGAGAGAGAGAGGCAGAGAGAGAGAGAGAGATTAGGAGGGTGTTGTGCCGTCCATCACTCCGTCCAGCCATCGCCAGCACCCTTCATCCAGTTTAGACCGACCAGCTGTAGCTGATGCTTCTCGACAAACGTAACTGGATCGAATGAGCGTCGTTGTACAAATTCCTCGCCTCCAACGTCATCTTTCGTAAGAGCCAATCCATGGGGCTCGCGGAAGAGCAAGAACAGGTAACGGTGTGGTTGAGATCTTTGCACGACATCTCTCGCTTAGTAATTTGTACGACAATTCCATACTTGAGAAAAAAAATGTGCAGAGAAGAGAAGAGAAGAGGATATGAATGGAGCCGCACCATTAGTTTTCGGCTAAGGGGAGGGCCGGATACCACATGATAGGGGCAGCAAACAAGAGACAATCCACTCTCCTACATAACCACCCCCTCACGGATACGGACCACGGAGTAGATAGTACATAGGCAGAGAAGCAAGGAGGGGTGGGCTGCAGCATGACATGACGAAGAGCAGACGTGATCTGGAAAGGCAAGAGGAGAAGCGACTTACTCATCCTTGGGGCCCGGGGCGAGATACTCTGTGAGAGCCGCCTTCGTCTGGGCGACAACACCGTCGGCCCCGGCCAATGGTTTCAGTCCTGGCAGAACCCAATGGCGCCAAAAGGCAAACTTGGGGTCATCTGGCGTTGGTGCATCGGGATCGACAAGGAGAAGCATATAAGATGCATCTTCCAACGAATCCCCAACCTATATATGTGATAAAGTCGTCAGGATTCCGGCTCAACTCGATAGGCCAACTCAAACAATTGGAGTAGACGCGAAGACGCCCATCGCCTCGTACGAAGAACTACTGACCTCGGCTTCAAAGGAGACAAAGGGTGCCAGCTTGACCTCGTTGACTCGAAACAGATTACCCAATTCAACCTCCCGTCCGCCGAATGAGATAGCCAGTCGAGTGGCCGGCTTAAAGTCCCGGGGGATGAGTGCTTCTGCAGAGCCAGGCACAAGCTTTGCCTCGGCCAGGGAACTTGATAGCGCTTGCGCAAAGTCGTCGAGGGGTGCTGCTGCCGCCATGGCTAAAGAGGTCTGGCTGGGCTGTAAGCGAGAGAATCCGAAGTCCCCGGAGGGGGCTGGGTTGCACAAGGACAGACAAATAGACCGGGAGGGCACTCAAGGCTCTGGAACGCCGGCCGAACCTAGTAGGATGAGGGGGAAGCAGAGACGATTAGAAAGATATGCGGACGTTGGACGATCCGGAGGAAACGGAAGGGGGGGAGGGTGAAGATGAGAATGTGTTTTTTGCGACTGTTTTGCGCCCCCCGCGATATTAAGTCGACGGAAGGACAATGGGTTTTAGTCTTGATGATCGGCCTTGGCGATATCTGACTGGTGGAATAATTGGCTCTCTTTTTTTATCACACTGCCCGGAGACGCGAATACTAATATTCGAACTGAGCTTCTTTCACAGCGCATTAAAAAAAAAGCCAACGGAAATTTACTACGAGTAGTGAAGAGCTACTGTTATTGGCTATACTGGAACTGACGAGTGCATATTGGGCTGCACATAAGAAACCCCGTGTCAGAGGGGAGGGGTCACCGTTCTTCGAAGGCTCGGGATTTTCATATCACGACTACTTTTTCGAGATGCTCCTCTGGCTTGACGATTTGATAAATCTTAGGATTTTTTTCTTTTATCTGAGTTAGATTAATAGTGTCACCTACCTGTCCCGGGAGATTCTTGGATTCTGTTGACGTTTTACACTCGGGGCACCAGGGGGGGGGGGTTAAAGTTGACAGGTGTCGACTGGGGTGGTCCGGCCTATTAATAGAGCCTATCCCTCGGCGGCAAAGCCTCTTTTTCACATTGGAGGGGGATATAATATACATGTACAGATGATACGAGTAGCACTGCACTCGTCCTCTCCGGATGGCGTCTACCGACACACCCTGAAAGCGGCAAGTCAACAGCATGGGAAAAAAGGGCAGGGGGCAAGCCGAGACCGGGCATGGCTGATTACCGTTGTGTTTTGTCTCAAGTTTGGAGAAAGGAAATCTTACGAAATAGAATGTACATACTACATTGTCCGGGATTTCGTACGGACGTTCCGGCTGGGCTACGAATATGCACGGCGATGTCGTGCACTGGGCACACACAATGGTGCACGCAGGGGCAACGTGGTTGGCTACTGTACGCTTGCTTCTATCTTTTTTTCATCCCGGCCCTTTTAGCCAAACTCGAAGGTGTGTGTTTGGGGTTTTGGTGGTCTGGGGAATCCCGGTCCCCCGGGGTGGGGCCCTTATCTCAAGGAGGGACGGTTGGGGATTTGATCGAGACTCTTTTTGACGATAACGGCATGCATGGGTGGCGTTTTTTCTTCTTGTGATTTAGAATAGTAGTGGCGGGCCGTTGGACTAACGAGGTTTGCTCCACAGAGTTGTCTTGGGGGGAATATGAACAAGACATACCGAGACGGTTGATTCGTTATTGCCCGGGTATACCCCATTTCTGCTACGGACCAAGTATATGTACTGCTATCCGTGTGCGGGTATTTATACATACACTTCCTGTCTTGCCACACAGAGGTAGACATTGTCATCATTATCATGATATTCGTCGTCATCAGTCAACCAGTCATGCAGGCTGGTCCAAGGGCACTGGCCAGCAGCGTCCTCACAAATCCTCAAACTCAAACTTGACAAGCAGCGTGCAGTCCGTCTCCTTGCCCTTTAGGTCCATCATCCTGATAAAGGTCCACCCGGGGAGGGCATACGACAGGCGAACGGCCACGGCGGCGAACTTTGGGTTCCTAGCAAAGCTGTCGTCGCTCTTGATGAGCATTCGCAGAAAGACTAGCTCGTTGTCCTCGTACTCCCACTCCAGCGTCTCGTCCCAGACCGGGTCCGTCGCGTGCGGGTTCTCGCCGCGATGGAGGAACCCCAGCTTGTGGTGCTTGTAGGGCGCCGTCTTTCTCTTGGGGGGCTCCTGGTCGGCGTCGAGTGGGCTGTAGAGCGTACACGTCAGGTACGGCTTGATGGAGTCTCGTTCCCTGTCCTCGTGGAGAGGCACGTCGGTGGCTCCAGCGACGTGGACGCGCAGCCTTGTCATCCGGCCCGTGCCAAGACGGCCGCTGCCGCCGGCGCGCAGAGCGGCGGGCTTGAGGACGTAGCCGGCGGTGCCGTTGAACAGGGCGTCGTTGAGCTGGTTGCTGGTGCTAAACGTCTGCCAGTTGAGGGCGCAGATCTGGGCGCCAATGCCCCAGAACTTGACGGGATGGAGGTTGGACGAGGCGATGCGGGTGCCCTTGGGGAAGACACGCATGAGGTGGTGGGCGTTGTGGTTGGCGATCGGGACCGCGTGATGGGGGAGATGCGACGACAGGCCCGTCTCGGACACGTTGATGAGATGGTGATGCGGGCCGTTGACCAGCTGTCCAGGATCATACCAAGAGTTGTCCTTGGGTTTCACCGACTGAGCGTAGACTCCCAGCTCGGCTAGCTCTGGCACGATGCGAGTGGAGGAGGATGACGCTGCCTGCTTCCTCTCCTTGTACGCCTGGCGGGCCATCCTCTCCTCCTCGTCATCGGACTGGTCGTTGCTGGAGTCGCCGCTGTCTGAGGCCTCATCGGGCAGATGGAACTCGACAATGACAGAAATTTTGGGACCCAGATCCTCCAGCGTCACATGTTCACCGCTTCCCTGCTGCTCGCGGGTGCCTTTGCGTCGAACCGGCTCGCTTATGAGGCGGTGACCAAAGACTTCTCTCATGATCTGGACGAGACGGAGTTGTCCGCGAGGCCCGCAGTGGTTTTCCAGAGACAGCAGGATGGGGGACGCGGGATCGCCAGCCTGGCCCGCGGTGAATGTGCTGGCCGCCTGCTCGCGGTCGTAGACGTCGCGGATCGTCTCGCACACGGCGCGGAACGGGATGTGCGACACGAGCGTGTAGCCATGCGTCACCTTGGGCTCGTCCTCGTTCTCGGCGTCGTCCCACGCGTCGATTTCGATGCACCGCGAGCCCGTCGTCAGCGCTGTCTCGTACGCCGACACGGACGACTTGCCATACAGCTGGTTGGCCAGCAGATACGTGTTGTGGCTGGAGCTGACAAAGTACTCGGGCAGAGGGAACCGCGGGTCGACGAGCTGCGGCGGCGCCTCGAAGTTGCGGCGGCCGAGCAGCTCGCGCAGGGCCGGCGGCGAGTCGCTGCAGTCGAGGCCGGCATCGCGCTCCGAGAGGACGTCGTTGTCGACGAGAAAGGACCGGAGGGCGTGGCTGACTCTCAGCTGGGCCTTGTAGTGGTCCGATTTGCGCGAGAGGTGGCCGGGCTCTGGAGCGATGAAGTCGCCCTTGTCGTCGTCATCATCGAAGTTTTGTTTGAAGGGATTGAGGCCTGCTAGGCGGGCTGCAATGTCGGCCATTTTCTCTTTTATTTACTTGTCGATTCCGTTTCACTGAGTGAGGTCGGGTTGTGAGAGATAAGGTGAGTGAGTATAAGCTGTCGCGTGATTATGAGCTGGGATCCGGCCTGATGCTCGATACAACACTGTATCACCGGTTCAAGAAGACGGCTTTGAGATATTATGCTCCAGACACGTGAAATGTTGTAGATGACTGTAAATCCGAGGATTGTAGCTGTATAAATAAGACTGATGCTGTATCATGAAGGTGTTATGTTGATGTTTGAGCTTTATTGTTGTTTGGCGGGGTAATGGCATTAGCATAGCCACTCTCATCATCAGACCAGCAGATTCAATGCGCCGCCTAGTCATGGAATTTTGACGCTTTGACCGGGTATTCGTCCAGGCAGAATTCCAGAGGGAAGATGTAGCGGACGGAGCACATGAGTATATGAAACTTTGAAAGTAGGTATGCAGGCACAAGATCTTAGATCGGGAATCTGTGGCGTAGGGTAACTCAACATATGGGTGGCCTCGAGAGGTCACATCTCTTATAGCTGACGCAGTATACATGCACATATCATTTCAAAAAAAAAAAAACTGAAATTATTTAAATGAACTGTTAAAAATAAACAGTTCCTGTAGTTCTTTTACAAAATTGAGAGTAAATTGGGCGAAAAAGAAGCAAAAAGATATTTTAGGCCCGGGATTCGAACCCGGATCTTCTGGCCCTTTCGGGCACGGGTCGCCTATACTACTCAGCTATCCCGCGCGTCGCCTCAGATGTGCTACCTTTGCACCAGCCTGGCAGGAATAGAGAGAGTTTACCCTATATCCCCTCGCTCCAAATGAGTTGAAAAAAGTACCTAGGTAGTGGTCATAATGACGATTGCTATAAGTTATATTAAAATAAAAAGCTCTCGTAACGTAATATGTCAAGAGGGATGACGCTTCAGCAGTGGGAGGCGTCACTTCATCTGCCCCTCTGCGCGAGCAAACACCTTTTCAGCTGTGCAACGATTCTACGAGTACAACATCGTTGGCGATGCGATAAAATTAAACGTAGCGATATAAAGGAGTGACTGAAAATATAAAATTTGAAAGTATACAAGCGCAGCATCTAACATCGGGAATCTTTGGTGCTGGGTAACTCAAAACATGGCTCTAATAATAGCTTACACCTCTCTCCTTCGACGGAACAAATACGCGTATAAATCAAATGGTATAACCAACTCAGCAAAACTCTTCAAATCTAAAAGCTGTAAAACACCCAGTTGTCCTCTCCTATAATCCTATGATAGCCGCCTTCTCCCATCGTGCAGATTATCGGCATGGTCAAGTCCTTATTCCCCAGCCAGACCCAGTACCCTACACTCTCGCCAGCGCCCTTGAGTGGCCTCCAGTGTCGCTCAGGCTGACCGCGGTAATCCTGCTCTACCGGGTCATTGTTCTTGAGGGCCCTGTCTCTTTGACTCCTATAGAGCGAGCTTGGGATGCCGAGTGAAAAGTCCCGTCGTACGTCAGGCTTGAGCTTCAAGACGAAGTCGTCCACTGGGTGTAATATTTCGTCGACCCTATCGATGTTGTTATCCCAGCTGGTGGAGCCGTTGACGGTTTTCGTCGGGTATATGCGTCCTTGCAGCGAGATGTGCAGCCTTCTTACGGCGGGAAACGTGGATGGGATGGCGTTGAGGAATGCGTGGAAGCTTGCCATGTCTGAGAGCGGCGGCTTGACGACTTCCGGGTGGATGCTGGGAAACGGCGCAAAGTCCCACAGGAGCTCCACTGATGTGATGCTTGAGAGGCGTTGTGGGAGGAGGATGGAGGTGAGGCTGAGAATCATTTCCTTGCTGGCTGTGTGGATTGTGTTGGTAGAGTATAAGACATCAATGCCCTCGACGTATCTGACGCATGAACACAGTTAATAAGAGGGAAGCATGATATATAAATAATGAGACAAAACTTACGCTTGGCGACAGCTGCAGAGCCATCCCATCGCTCCTATCTGGCACTTCGTTGGAAACTCGCCAGGCCAGCCAAGACACCTTATATGCCATGGTGACTGGCCGAATCGACAGTAGTCTTCCCCAGGTTGGACGCCTTGACCGGGATGACAATGGGCTGGTGAATTTCGATGGCAGACGGAGCTTCGCCAAGCCCATTCCTTTGGTTGCGAGTCGTCCAGCCTGAGGTTCTTCCTATCGCATGTGATCCCATGGTGAAAGTTGACGTTGAAGTTTCCGTGTGGCCGCTGACCCCCATTTTTCCTCAGCGTCTCTTCCGTCTGCTCTTCTGCAGGTTGCGGCGGGTGGTCATAGATGAGATCCATGTGAACCGTCTGGCCGCCAAAGGCTTCTATCAGGATCTTGCGCCGGATCTCGATGGGCAGCTTGGTGAAGAAGGAGCTGTTTGCGGTGGCGGCATTGGAGGCGGCGATGAGGCTCTCGTGAGAGGCAGTGGGAGTGAGACGCCCTCTGCGCTGAGTGGGCAGCTTTGGGTGAGGCGGGATTGGGGGAGCTTCTATTAGCAGCCTCGTTGTGACAGCTCGTTGCTTTCTATTGCTTCTTGCGACGCGTCGGCGCCTGAACCAGCTGATGATGGCGTTTGGCATCGTCGACGATGTTTGTTTTGGTTTGGTTTAATCCAGAGCACTCGCACAGCCTATGATGAAGCATCGGACGTTTAAGTTCGCAGGAAGCACCACCACGGGCTTGCCATGAGGAAATTAGGCATTAGGCTCCCCTGCATCATGCGCAGTTCATGCGATTCGCTTCCGATTAGTCGTCACATGTTTGGTGATTTTGCCGTTCAGCTCGGGTGGCAGGGATTGATTGGGTATTGCGCCGGATTGGCTAGGCGCCTTGGCAATTGCGCGGCTTTAGGGACTGAGATGGCTGTTTTACTATTACTGTTATTATTATTTTCCTCTCTCTTGTTGTTGTTCTTTTTATTTTCATCAACCATTTCTTTTGATACGATACTTCTCTTGACTGGGGCTCTTCGCTCTTGTTTGGGTACCAACACCGACTGACTTACAGCCCAAACCAAACCAAGCAAAACCCACTGGCTGAAATTCTGCCTCGAAACTAAGGCGCCGACGCGACCCACTCTGGACGACCCGCTACCTATTTTAGAAAATTTTTGATGATTGAATCTTTTTTCTCTTTTCTCTTCTTTCTTCTCCATGAACAACGCAAATAACAACGTTCGGGTTCTTCCATCACTTTAAAAGTACCTAGTACGAGGTGCGCTTTCGAGCGTCTGCTCACGACTGCTGGGGACCTGAGGAACGAAAACGGAGAAGAAAGCGAGCAATCTTGGGTGCGGTGCTCCCCTACCAAAATGGAGAGGACCGCAATGATTGAGCGTACATGCATATGTCGTGTTACTACCAGTGATTGATGCTGTAGATGTAGGCTGATGCTTTGTGTAGAACGACGGGAGTTGAACCTGTTGATTCGCATGGAGTTTGCTGTCGAAGCTCGAGTTGTCTATGGCTGAGTGCCGAGTCTCTGCCTATGCGGTCTTGATATTGCATCTTTGCTGGGATTCTACGGAGTACCTCTTATGCATATCGTTGACAGAGTTGATCGACGAGCAAACATAATGCTGCTCTCCCTCTTGCAAGTTGCATATTCTGTTTGCACAACTATCACCGTTCATGCCTGCAGCAAACTTCTCCAAGTGGACGAGTGTCTCAAAAGCTAATTGTACGATTCGTTTTACGACGTATACTAGACTATATTACAACAAGAGAATTCATAACCATCGTATCATACTATGCCGCACTGGCCCATGACCCAGGCCTGAGGTGTTTATACCCAATAATAACGGAATGCGCTTCTTAAAAGAAACGGGTCCCGCCGTTGTTATACCAATTCGTTCCGAGAGAAGTGAAGTAATGCTTCCATGTTTTATGTGTTTTCTTTCTTTCTTTCTTTTTTTGACTGACGATGTAATCGCCGAGTTTCTGGAGACGGCATATTAGCAACTTTTGGGTCAGGATATCGAGTGAGGAGGGAAACCAACATATAGGATCTGGACATTTAGTACATGCCCTCGATAACGCTGCGAGCCCCGTTTTGGATAGCCTCGAGGTTGCGCTTGGCCTTCCAGCAAGGCTGGCCGGTTTGGTAGCACCATGACTTCTCAGAAATCTCCTCGACGCTTCGCTTCTCATCGCCTTCAATGGTGGCACTGAGAACGCCCTTGGCGACATGCTTGGCCTTCCAGCAGGGCTGACCGGGTTTGTAGCACCATCTCTTGTCCTCCTGGATCTCATCGGTTGGCTTGGCCTTCCAGCAGGGCTCACCGGCGCGGTAGCACCATTGCTTCTCCTCCTCGAGATCCTCATATCGCTTGTTCTTCCAGCCGCAAGTCATACCGACGCGGTAGCACCATCGCTTCTCCTCCTGGACTTCGGCATCGCGCTTCTCCTCCTGGACTTCGACATCGCGCTTCTCCTCTTGGATCTCCTCATCTCTCTTCTTCTTCCAGCCGCAAGTCATACCAACGCGGTAGCACCATCGCTTCTCCTCCGGGATCTTCGCAGCTCGCTTCTTCTTCCAGCCGCAAGTCATACCGACGCGGTAGCACCATCGCTTCTCCTCCTGTACCTCGACATCGCGCTTGGCGGTCGAAGTGTCGGTTACGTTCTGGAGAAAGGCAGACGGGTCCTCGGAGGCGTAGAGAAGCAGGCTGGAGAGCTGGTCAAGACCTTGGAGGGCGGACAGAGCAACCTCGTTGGGGATGCCCTGGTGCTCGGTCTCGACGGTGCCGATGGATCGAACTGCGCTAGAGAAAACCTCAGTCGCACGCTTGACCTTCCAACAAGGCTGGCCGATTTGGTTGCACTCAGGCTCGGGGTTGGGGGCAGCCAGAGCTGCAGTGGCGAGGACGGTGACAGTGGCGAGGAACTTCATCTCGAGCAAAAGATGATCAACTTCAGTAAAGGGTAAAGAGAAGAATAAAATCGTGAACTGAAGACAAGTGACTGGCCTGCAGATGGAGAAGAAAAGCGAGTCGAACAAGACGAGAAAATGCGAAGGATATATAGGTTCAAGTTCTCATCTGGAGAAGGCGGTTTTACTCTCTGCATATTTCTGACGAAAGCTCAGATCACCAGAGTTGCAGGTGAAGGAGTCCACTTTCGTTATTGATTCGGGGTTATTGATGGTGTTGTCAATAAGCCTCTCCGCGCCTTGCCTGGTGGACACTTTCTTCAATGCCCACGGGCTTTCCGCGTCCGGTATTCAGCTGGATTTTGGGATGTTGGTGGAAGAGATGCTGTTAGTCTTCAACCACGGTCAATTACGAACTACATATACTGAAGAAAAGTTTGTTATACAGAGGCTTCGCTGTTATAGATGACCAGATCGTGGTTGGGACGTGGCGCGATGGATTATGAGGACAGGGGCCATTACGGTTGGCCATTTCAACAGATCCTTTTTATGGAAATTTGCCAAGAAAATGCCATGAAATCTTCAATTATTCTTCATAGAGGAGATGTGCAATGTGCATTAGATCAGGGACCATCAACAGGTACCGGCGCAGCCTCAGGGGCCCCATTGAGTCCGCAAAGACGGCCGTGCCTGAAGCCCACAAAAATATGAGACGAAGCAAAGTAATTCCATACTAATCCATTCCATACTAATTATCCGAATACGCCCCTAGCGATACAGTCAATACCTTTACTTCAAGGTGAGGCGCGCTTATTTGCGCAGAGACAATCTGGTATTGAGGGCCGGCTTATTGACACCCAAATCCGGTAATTGACTCTGTTGTGACAACACGCCACAATTGACGGAGGCCGCTCTACGCCGCTTGTACACGCAGAAATGACTGGCATCTGAAAAATGAAGATGAAAGATGGGAATAAAGTTATTTACGTATTTAATACAGTGGAAGGCGGAATGGGTGTCGCCGGATGGTTAGATAGGATTACAGTCAAGATCTATTTTCAGGCTGTTGCTTGACACCCCTGTCAAATGTTGCTTGCATACTCCAAAAATACAGTGATGTTTATAATGGGCTTCCTCTTTTAACTCTCTATTAATTTGTTAATATATAGGTCTTAGTTTTAAGGTCCAAGTTAAAAGAAAATATTGTCAGAGGTGAGCAGCGCGGAGTGGCATAGGCGCCTAAGATCCTCGCAAAGATCCTCGCACCTGTCCCGACTGAAGCGCCTTACTTATTACATAGCGAATGCTGGAGACGTCGTTTTTTTCCAGCAATCCTTGGGTCTTTTCCGCGTATCAAAACGTAATTTTTGGTCTCCCTGGAGCTATAACATCTGCGGGGCGTGCCATCTAATGCTGGCATGCGAGTCCAGAGAAGATGGGCCCCTAACTCTTGCAACTGATGTGAGAAAATATGTAGATAGTCCTGCAAGTCTTCTGGGTTGCATAAGCTTCTGTGCCGCTTTCACGAAGCAGGGGCTGAAGCGGTGAGGAGAGGGACCTTATTCGATCTCCTGTTCTTAAGTTTCTTACCTTTCTTCTACACCAGGTTGCTTTCTGGTCGCCTTGCGAGTTACCCATCATGCCGTGTACAGCATACTTATATCTCTGTCGTGAACTTCTTGCGCACATTGTTGATGCTCTGTCGAATTATTGATGTAGTTTTTAAATTTGTCAACTGCGTTACCCGGGCCACTACTATTAATCCTCAGCCAAGCACACCCTGCAAACGCCGTCGTGAATTACATGGCGATTATCCGGTAAGATTTCTTGCTTTCTCATATCAATCCCAAGAGATCCCCTTTACCGGCTGGATTTCTCTCCCCACACTCCACCTCGCGCCTCTCATTGTCCACATCGTTTCAGGCGCGCCGAGGCCTGTCTACCTCTCCCAGATTCGCCCCAGATGACACGATCGGATCTCATATACAACCCCACAACCATGTTATGGCGTTGCTTTGCCATCACGGACAGGCGCATGCGGGCCAAGGCGTGGGGTCCGGCTGACTTAACCGCTTCGAACGCATACTTCTGGACGGCTCAGGGGTGGGACGCACCCGAAGAAATGATTGACCGGAGTCGGGCACATTGTGTAAAGCTCCCTGATCATGCGAGGACAGAATTGGCGTCCGAGACCTCGGCCAAACCCGTTATTGTGACGCTTCAGGGAGTGCAAGCTCTCTATACGATGACGAGAGCGTTGTGAGCAAAACGTTTGCGGGCACTGCCGCCATCGACACCATATTCTTTGGGCTTCTACGAGTGTGGGCGACGTTCTGGTTGACTGATGGTTATTCATATGCCACCGAGAACAGCGGTATCGCACTCATGAAGACTGGCAGCTCGACGTTTAATCTTTCGAGGCCGGGGTCAATATCCCAGCTAGAGGCGCAGCCTATGACCTCCATTGGCCTTCTTGGTATGGGAACGCCGTCATCTGCCCCCGAGAGACGCTTTCATTCAACTAACAGTTGGCGCGGCTGGGTCTTCTGCATCCTTTATATCCTACCAGTAGTCCGTCTTTGGGTCCTCTGCGTCACATACCTGCTCCCTTTCTCCAACAGCGAGAGCCTCACAATCACGACCCTCCTACTTGTTGCATTCTATCTCTTCTTCCTCTCGGCCTCTCTTGTTATTTACACTTTCTACTTCGTACGTGGTCCTTCAATGAGCACCATTATCCCCTGCAAAACCTCACTTTGGTATAAGATCTATACGTCTAAGGCGCCGTATATTAAAGAAAGATTATAACAACAATCACATTTAACCAGTAACATCTCAAACAACAGACACGATATACCTACCAAGAACTTAAGTGTCAAGCCATCCTCAATGCCTAATAAGGTCAAACGCAGCGAAAGAAATATCCAGAATGCCTTAAAAGCTGTCAAAGAAGGCATGTCGCAAAAAAGAAAAAAAAAAAAAAAAAAAAAGCAGCTAGGCAGAATGGTGTTTCTCGATCAATGCTCCAGGGTCGACTAAACGGTACAACCTATCTGAGAAAAGCAAAAGACAGCTTCTAACGTTTCTCTCCGTACCGGGCAAAATCATTGTTGATTGGATCTGGCATATCGAGGAGGATTTGGGCCAGCGACTAATGAATGAACAAATTGTACAGTTCGCATGCAGACTTCTCCCTGGGGAAGATTCGACTCTCGGCCTGAATTGGATATGGCGCTTTCTGCGCCGTAATCTAGAAGTTAATAGGATACTCTCCAAATCGAAGCGTATTGCTTCTGGGTTACCGCATGACAGCAAACTTTCGCGCCACTGGAGCAACGCGCTGCATTTCCAACTTGGCATCTTCGACTTAGCCAAGAGAGATCCCCAGTGGATGTCTACTTCCAAATTTGAATTTCAGGGGGCGACACAAACCTATCAAACTCTTAAATGCGTAATAATGCATTTTAATTATAAAGAAAACACCTAGGGTGGACGAATCCTCAGGACGGCATTTTGGACTCTTGCCGAAGAGTTGTCTGAGGGAAATTTGAATGCCATCCAGGATGTCTGTTCGAACATCCTTGGGGCCCTTGTCCGCTACGACTTTCTCCACATCGGCACTCTAATGCTCCAGCATTGCAAGCATGTATTCAAAATAACCAATAAACGGCGCCTGTATTTCGACTTCTTCGAATCTTGGAAAAGTTTTTGGCGCAGATAATGCTCAATCGGATTACTGCCTTCGTCAACTCACTGAGATTTACGCCAATGAGCGTCAGGAATATCGATGATGCGGCGACCAAAGTGTCATACAAGCAAAACGCCATCATCGCTTCATAGTACGGGATTCTGGGAGGGTAGTTCAACCCGAAGACGCTGATGAAATGATTAAATCTTCTGGGCGCCTTCTGGGATCGGCTATCTCGGAGCTCGGGAGGTTCACTGACAAAACTCTGCGAATCGAAAATGACACTCTGAGGATGTAAAACTACGTCGGCAGATACCAAGACGACTATATGACGAGAGTTGAACAGTCAATGGGTGAGATTGAAAAACATGCGTCTGAACAGGAACATGAACAGGAACCTGCGCCTTTTGAGAAATGGGGCAAGTTGTATCAATCTGCCTTCTTACGCTACTTGGAACGAAAATTCGATTACTATAAGTTCAATAACGAGGTAGATAAAGCAATAGAAGTGGCAGGGTCCATTTTGGAAAGAGAGGGTTACCAGATCGAATGCTGGATTGTGTTCTCTCTTCAGTTCGAGTCTTGGCTCCGGCAGATAGGATACGAGGAATGGTCCTTGTATTATCCGCAAAAGCGGCTAATATTAAGTTATTACCGCGAGTCAGAAGATAGCTTTGCCAAAGAAAAAGAGAGAATGGTTTCTGAGATAGTTGAGATGCAGAGCCTGGAATCAACAAGAGAATACCAATAAAACGTTATTGTTGGTGCAAAGGAAAGGGAGTTAAAGCCAAAGGAAAATAGGGAGGGGAAGGAGCGGGAGGAGTAGATACAAATGATATCAGAATGGACTCATGCATAGACTCCGTGAGCTCGAATTATACTACCAACTACTATTGTCATGTTCCTGTGCGATTCTCTGCTCAGTACACGCAAACCGTTGCTGACTTCTAAGTGGGCGTGCACTGTAATTATGTCCAGCACTTCGGATCACTGCGTCTCTATACAGATTCTCCAGACGGCTCACTCACTGCACAAGTATTCTGAAGCAAGAGATGATCTTGGTCTTGAAGCCTTTAATCACTGGGGGTTTGATTAGTATACACTGTGCGGCACCTAATCGTGGTGCCATGATTGTGGCTTTACTCCGTACAAAAGCGCCGAATCTGGTGGGTAGAGTGAAGAGAGGCATACGGGCTAGATTTCTAGTAGGTTCGCAGCCAATTCTGACCCAGTTAGGAAGCCCATTTCGCCTTTTACTGTACAGACTCTGTACACCAATTGTAAGCGTGAGTGTTGGCCACAAATGGCGAGTCTAAATCCCACGCGGCAGCAAGGAGAAGGCTAGAGGGGAAAAAAAATTAGATCATACTCAATAGACGATAAAGTACATGGTGAACCTACTTGCAAGCTCGCGCGCTTTATTCTATTACGACGTTACCACGTATATTGGCCGAAAGGCTCCCCTCCAACCCAATAAGCCATCTCCACGATGGAAGCCAAGATCTCAGACGTTAGGGCACGTGGTAGCTCGTACTATTCGATCCAGAATAATGGAAAGTACAAAGAGAATAGGATAAGACATAGGGGAGGAGAGGGGAGGTTTCCCCTAGATATATATTATATGGCTCTAAGTACATGTATATCAACAAATTTAGAGTCGGAAGTGTATTTTCTTTTTATCAAAATGAACTAGCTAACGATTACAGCGCACGTTCGTTCGTTTAGCGCATTCTAACATTTGAACAATCAATCTCTTGCATAATCGGCCAAGAGAGTCGACGAATGCCATTGGACGATCATGTAACGCATAGTGTTTGCCTTCTTGGTACTTTATACAGGAGCGGGGAAAATGTATCGTGGTCTAATATAAAGAATTGATACCCAAATGAATTCCACTGTTAAGACGATTGCTGCCGAATCCAAAAAAGTTACTTTCATACTACGCTCAACTTATCGAGTTGGGATTCATCTTACATTTGAGATAGAAAGTTTCCAAGCATAATCATGCCTGATCTGTATAAATAATCCGCAGACCCTTTCTCTTTCCAGTCATCAATAACTTACCCACTCAGGAACCGTCCAGTCCTGCTCTAGGCATGTAATGATAACATTAGATCAAAAGTATAAATTCCTTGGACCCCTTCAACTCATTCTAAACAAAGGTAGTAGAGTAGAAATAAAGAGAATGCAATCACAGTTATGCTATAACCACAGGCAACAGCCCATAGGTTGAAAATCACAAGGTGAAGGGAGCACTATCGTAGCAGACCATATAGCTACTATGTAGATATGGGCAAAATTTACTTACTATCAGCCCTCTTCTCGACCAGCAGCTTTACAATAGCCTCATGCCCATTCTCAGCAGCCTGTAATAGCGGCGTCCGGCCCATGATATCCTTTACCTCAATATCAGCTCCTTTTTCAACCAGCAACTGCATAATAGCCTCATGCCCGCTCTCAATAGCCCATAATAATGGCGTCCGGCCAAATACACCATCCTTTGCCTCAATATCTGCCCCATTTTCGACTAGTAGCTTTACAATAGCCTCATGCCCATTCTCAGCAGCCTGTGATAGCGGCGTCTGGCCAAAGAGATCCTTTGCCTCAATATCAGCTCCCTTTTCAACCAGCAGCTTTACAATAGCCTCATGCCCATTCTCAGCAGCCTGTGATAGCGGCGTCCGGCCCATACTATCCTTTGCCTCAATATCGGCCCCATTCTCGACCAGCACCTTAACAATAGCGTGATGACCATAGTGTGTTGCTATTAAAAGATCCGTAATATGCCCATCAGGGCTTAGATTTTTAGACCGCTGATAAGTTTTAAACCATGCTAAGAAGCTTTTTGAACTGGGATCACAAATTCTTAAGGTCGCAGGTATAATAGCGGCGTTATCAGTAATGTGAGCTTTGTGGAAGTGATAACCCCAATTTTCAGCCGAGTAGTTTAAAAAAGCGTTCCTATCTGTAAAGTAGCTGGGTGTCATATCCATCTCTATAGTAGAGGAATTAAACAAGTTTAGATAGAGGACACAGAGCTCTGCGAGTATAGAATGTGCATGGCGAGTAGTAATAGAATGATGCCAGTATGGTGTTGATGGGATGGATGTTGGATATGCTGCGAGGAGAAATTCGCGAGCAGTTTGGTGGAAGAAGTAAATTTTGCCACGATAGATTGAGATAACCAATCCGCACCAGGACCGTAAACGCGACTTAAAGTCCATTTCGTTCTCTAAATCAAGGTCGTAAAAAGTTTGTGTTGTATCATCTTGTGCCATGTCCTTTATATTCATAGCAATATTCATTTCCGATAGCGTCAGTGGTCGACTGGCAGCTAAGATAATACTTAAGGCTTTCCGAACCATACGCTTTTCCGTAGACTTATTGAGAATTTGCTCATATGCCTCATTAACACTTTTAGGGAGAGTTTGTATGATAGATTCAGCGCCTTGTAACGTCATTTTAAAGTTTCCCTGTTTTATATAGTCGAATATAAGGTATACCCAAAGATAGGTGCGGTGCGGAATTTCCTGCAGTCTTTTCTGAAGGTAAATTTTAATTCCGGCCGATAGTGGTAAATAGCTGACTTGGTATTTAATAAAGTCATCTATCTCCTGACAGATGACTGCTGATTCGTCCTCTCCTGGTATGTGGATATTTGGAAAAGAATTTAATAGCTTGTGGAATTGTGTTATAATTTGCTCGTATGGGCGACATGTGAGAAGATATTTTAGCTTGCTCTTGGTGCCGCTTAACTGATTGCCATTGAATTGACTTTCGATATTCCTCATTAAGTCCATAAACTCAGACTCCGCACATTCATCCAGAGCATCAAGGACTATAATTATAGACCCTGCCTCTGGGTCTCTGGTAACATCTTGTAAAATTGTCCAGAGAGAGTCTGTATGTGTAATTAAATTTTCCCCATTATTACGGAATGATTGCATAGCATGTTTAATTAAAAACGGCATTTGAGAAAATATTTGATGAAGCAGTGCGCAGAGTGCTTGGTGAGAGGTGTCTTGGTCTTCGTCTTTAAAAAAAAAGTAGCAGATATGTGTGGTTGCTGGTCGTGGTAGCCCGTGGTCGATAAGATATTTCGCTAAAACTGATTTCCCGCAGCCAGGATCTGCTGTAACTAGCAGGGGCCCGGACTCTTGTTTTAACCACTTTTGGTAGTGCTCGTTTTGTAGGAGCCAAAGACATGTATTCTCGACTCTCTCATCAATCCGGTCTTTATACCATTCATACGTAGTGTCTTTGCCACCAGATGTAAGGCGGAAAAGCTGGTGACACTCTTGTTCTTCTTTAGATAGCCTCTCATTTGCGAAATCTTCCAGGGATTTAGGCTCTTCCTTTGCAATATCTCGATGGTGTTCTGCAATATCCAGGTGGTTTTCTGCAATATCTCGGTGATCTTCGGCAAGTTCTTGGGGACCTTTATAAAATTAATACCAGGACATATTAAAAGTATGGGTTAAAAGCTTAGTACTGACCAGATAAAACATCACTAATCTTTTTCTGGGCTTCAACTTTAATTGGAGCTATTCGATGGAGAAGATCTTTTGCATATGCTGCAGCTGTCATCGCTGCATAGCCCTGCCACAATGTACTTTTGTGTGAGTCTGAGTAGTCGCAGATTCCACGTATAACCAGACATGGAAAGTGATTCATAAGACCGGCGGCTCCCATTTCAAAGCAAAGGATACCCTCCTTTGCTATAAGTTCATCTCGAACTAAGGCATCCTTCATAAGCATGTTCGCCGAAGCTATCAGACCATAGTGGACGAGCGGGTCATCATCATCTTCCTCCCGTTGGTGCCGCTTGATAAGGCTGGATGGATCGTCACCACAGACTGTCGCACAGGAAGTCCCGCTATTTAGAGGATGAATGACTTGCGACCGATAGAGCCTATCGGTAATTGCTTCAGGTCGCATATAACCTCTCTTTCGTAGTCTCGGATTCTTATTGAGTACGCTATCGACTGCTTCTCTTAGTTGATTCCCCTCAATCTCATACTGTGCCATCAGCCCATTAATAGCTGTTCGTAAAACCGGCGGTGGCTGATTTAAAAATCCTGTCTTGAGGAATTCCTGGCCTTGTATGGCCTTTCTAAAGTCATACTGGAAGACAGCACTTTTTCCATTGTTGGAAACACCCACTATAACATCACCAAGTCGGATGTCATGCGTCAAACTCGGTGCGCCGCCGCCGATTCCAACCAGCAGGCCAATTCTGATGTTGGGAAAACTATGCAGCATGTCTCTTGCAACGCCCGCCGCGGATGACACTCCGTATTTGCCATTTGGAAGCACAGCGATAACGATATTATGCTTTCCGATCCTACCAAGCGTATATTTGTTGTTATCGTTGGGGGGCAAACGATCGGGCCTCTCATATTTTTCATCAAGAAAAACTTGGGCGGCAACATACTCTTTCTCTATGGCGCAGATCCAGCCGATGGTGTAACCCATAGGATCTTGGCGTGCAGGCTCTTCGTGTTCATCTCGCCAAGACTGGTAAGCTCCAGATTCGATTATCTTCATTAAGAAAGTGTCATTCTCAGTTGCTAGGCCATCGTATTGTCTAGGGATATCCTTGAGATCAAACTCTGTGTCGGGGATTGAGATATTATGCTCCACAAAGCCATCATCCAGATCCATAGCATCTCCCGTGTCATCATCGTCGTCCATGTATTTTATAGTGACATCTGCCCTGGAGTCGATTTCTGAAAGTTTTCCTAGGTCGCTGCCCTTCGATACGCTACTTCCGTCATCGATATCGACGGAATTACTCTTGAAATCATCATCCGCCAATGCTCCGTTATCTCCCTGCAAGGCTGCAAAGCGTAAAGTTAAAAGCATTAGCACTTGTAAATGTGCCGCAATGTGCCGGGCTACAGCCTTCGAGTGGTCTTCAGTCTGTTGTGATCTGTGCTGATGAGACTTTTTGTCTGGATTAGAAGAGGTGTCCGAAAAATCAGAGTCCGAACTGTAGTGACCAGGGTGCATCATCTCATAAGTGTTCCTGGCACTTTTGAAAGGTTCTTGCTTTGACAGTGCTTTTTTTCGTTTAGGAAAAACAGCTGTGTTATTATCTCCCTCTTCCACTTTGAAACAACACAAAAGGCAGTTATTCCAAGGCCTTAGCTGCTCTATCTTACTCTGGCGTGAAATAACCTGAAGCTGTTCATTTGTAAAGGTATTACTGTGGGATTCTTTTAAATGTAAATATAGGGCTTGTGGGTTGCTGTAATCGCCTGGGTTAAATTCGCAGATAGTACAGACCCAGGTAGACGATGAATAAATTTGCTGATACCATCGCCGGTTGTGACAACCCATATGGCTGAACCACTCATCAAAGGTCGAATAAGTTGGGTGTGCCTCTGGACATTCCTCTGAGATACAAACGTAGGGTTTGAGATCTCGATCTATGTGTTGACTGGTAGTAAGTTAATATAGGTTATCCCTAGTGTTGAAGTGTATGCCAGTATCCTCAAAAGCCTATAGAAAAACCTTCCATTTGCTGTGCATAGACAGACACTATGAAGCCCTCTGTGGAAATTGAGGGCTTATATGTAAATAACACGTAGATTTATATGAAAACATTGCCAACATTTGTGTGCTTAAAGGGTAAATATTACATACCGCCATTCGCTCTCCGAGAGTGTTTTCTTATTGAGCGGCTCAGAACACCACTCACAAGTGAAAATATCGCTATCCCTGTTTGTGATAGGTAGCTGTGGATAATTACCCTGGTTTACTTGGACTGATGATGTTTTATAAAATTTTGTCGATGCTTCATCAGGCGGTCTGTGGCGGTTCCTAATGCGTTGAATGTTGACAGTAGATAAGTCAGACTGAGAGTGTGTAGTATGTCTTTTTTGGTGATTAGCTATAGCTGATATCTCCTTCGCGGGATGGATAATAGGAACGCTAGTTTGCAACTTTTCAGGTACTTCTGGGATAGGTGATAACCTCATATGTGACTCTCGGGGGGTTTTAAGCTTTGTGTAGCGAGAGTTGTGGTGTAGTATCTTCTTATATCTATTTAACATCGACTCTTGAAGATGATCCTTAAGAGATTGGTGGGCTCCAGGATATAAGGTCTGTATAACGTTTGCACAAAAAAAAGTAAATAATGCTAGATCAAGACCTGCACTAAATTTATTTGCTCTTAAATCGATCTTGTCTTGACTGGACTGGCGAATTGTAACGCCTAAACGGTTGAGTCGAGTGAGCGTAATATCAATTGCTGTGAGAGCTGCTGATGGCATTGGAGAAGCCTCAGGGCGGGATTTATCAGAGCCTATCAGAGCCTGATCTTCTTGACTGTTTATTTCATCCTTATATTGTTGTAAACTGCAGCGGAGGAGATCTAGTAATCGAGCAACAAGGTCTTGAAGGTCTGGGAGGTTTCGCAGTCTTGTATCTAGACATTGGCTTTCCTTAGCAAACACCCCGAGATAGGAAGCCCATATGGAAAATCGTTGCTGCAATTCTGCACATAGCTCGGTAGCAGCCTTTGGCTTTGCTTTTGGAGAGGCTTCCTGTAGTTGATTGAAGAGGTCTTCGCATTTACAAGCAAGCCTGTAGAGAACATCTTCGCCATCAAAGTTTAATTCCATGCTGAGAGATATTTGGAAAACAGTTCAGGTATCGAAAGATAAAGCAGGACACACGACGGTGATTCGGATGGAATATCATCGAGCTTGCTGTTAGGCTATGAAGGGACGAGCGGGGTGGCAGCAGATCCAACTGGTTTTGTGGGTCTTTTTAAGTCGACCCCAAACGACCACCGCTTTCCCAAGCGGGGATTAGTTGTGAACATTTATCTCCGCACATCCACCCGCGGAGCCTCTTCTTCCCCGCCCTCGCGCCATTTCAGGTATTCGAGCAAGCTCTGACGTCCACCGTGGTTGCATAGATGAGACTTGAAAACTAGAATGCCTTACCTCAATGACTCGAATGAATGGCGCTTGCTCGATGAGCTTGGACGCCTGCTGGACCAGAGGAAAGCGCGATACCATGTGCCAGAAGAACCACCCAGTGATCACAAACGAGTGGGGCCCTACCCTCAACTAATTGAAATCGAGCTCCGCTACGTATTTATGGTCAAGCAAATTCCTCAGGATCTGGATCAAGCAGATTTCGGCCAGTGTCAGGCAAAGTTGGAAAGCCTCTGTTTGTTGTTAGATGACCTTGTGTTGTCACCTAACGCTTACGGTGGCCCAGAACATGAAGGTTTGGCCTATCCCCGGTTACGAGCATTGACTAGGCTTCTGGAGTCCACACCCGGGAAAGTTGACCTAGCGTATAGTCCTAATAAGACAATTTTCAAACTTCCTTGCAGGGATGACGAGCTTCGCGAATGCTACAAGGTGATTACAGAATATACCGATGTCCTCCGTCAACTACTTAAAGCCCCCTCGCAAGAACCAGTTATTCGGCCACTCCAAAAGCAACAGAAAAGAAAGATATGGGAGAAAGCTATAATACGGAATCGGGCTAAATTGGTTCTCAAGACTTTATTTAAATATTTTAAATGCGAAGCGCCACACGAAGTGCTATTACAACTTATTGAGAATCCTGATGAAGATTTAATACCGAATCTACAACTTATGCTCTCGCCATGTCTAGAATTACAGTTTTGGCAGGAAGCCCGGTATGATTTCGTTAATCTGTACGTTTGCTAGCCTTAGCGTTAGTGGAGGCCACCTTTTTTTTTTTTTTTATACTTACATGGCTGTTAGACAATCTTCAGTTTCATCTATATCGGACATCTGTATGAATCTCCGTCAGCATACTGGTCAAGGAAAAGCGTTGGTGTTGCATATTAAAGATGTTGAGGAGTTTGATCTACTCGGTACCTGGTCAAGTCCTACTTCCTCTTCAGTGGGCCCATCCTTAAATGAGTCTCTTGACCAACTCATCCGAAAAGGATTTTTCAGGCCTTTTGACATCAACATATGCAACGAGGCGTTACCAGACAGGTTCAGCATTAAAGATAGGCGAGCACTTGCTGTTAAGCTTGGGCTTTGTCTTATGAACTTCTTTGATGCTGACCTGACCTCAAACAGGATCCATTTCCTAGGTCCCAAACCATACCTAGCTTTCAACTCAGAGCTTTCAGTAACAACTAACTCGGAAATTTTCCTGGTAGGTCACCCTGCACTGCTATCTTTTGCAAAGCTATTACTAGAAATGGAATATGGCCAAAATATGGACATCGATATAAGTCCTCATAATAGCGAAAATGGTCAAGCCTGGTTTCAGCTCATGCATCGCCTAGAACTCCTTGAACGAGAGAGAAACGACGTATATGTCGAAGCCATCAGAGGCTGTCTTACCGTTCATTATAAGATAGCGAGTGCGCTGAGGTTACGCGGCTCTGAGCACAAAGATGTGGATTCCATAATAAGAAAAAATCTCTACATGGAGATTGTCTATAAACTCATGATTGGACATGAACACTCTCAGAATGGCTACACGCATGCTCGAAAACGGCGACGACGAGATTCGTTATCTTCATCTTCTTCTGACAGCTGTGACGGGGCTCAAGCTTGTGGCTCTGTAAAAATGGCCGTGAGGCTTGAACGAACAACACCTGAATACAAGAAACGACACATCCCCGAGTCACAGGTACTTCCTGCTGTGTCTGGGTCAAGGATCATGTCCTCTGTGCGACCTTCTCACCGCGACGACTTCGAGATCGCAATCATCTGCGCGCTACAGCTTGAGTACGATGCGGTTTCCTACATTTTCGACGAATTCTGGGACGATCATGGTGACCCGTATGGAAAAGCCGCGGGAGACCACAACATCTATACGACCGGCCGTATGGGCAACTGTAACGTCGTTCTAGCCCTCTTGCCGGAGATAGGGAAGGCCAGCGCAGCCAGCGCGGCAGCTAGTATGCGATCGAGCTATCGATGCTTGCGGCTAGCCATCCTTACAGGAGTATGTGGTAGTGTGCCGCATCGCCAATGTAGAGAAATCTTCCTAGGCGATGTAGTTATCAGCAAGACCGTTCTCCAGCACGATTTTGGCTGGCAATATTCGGACGGGTTCATACGCAAGAACACTGTCGAAGATAATCTTAGCCGGCCAAATAAAGATGTCCGCAACCTGGTCACCATATTTGAGACTGATCGAGGTCGCGATCAACTCGAACAACTAACCACCCAATTCCTCCGACAGCTCCAAGCCAACGCTGCCTGGAAAAAGCGTCCGGGCAAGTACGACTACCCTGGAACAGCGGAAGACAAGCTGTTTGAGTCGACTCATCGCCACAAACATCACGTATCGCCGACCTGTATTTGCCGCAATTGCTTTAACGATTTAGACCCTGTTTGCGATGAGGCGCTTATATCATCATGCGCGGATCTCGGATGCGATGATGAACGTTATATTGCGAGGAAACGGCTCCAGGCAATGCATCAGTTCGAAAATGTCGGGGGCGATAATACTCCGCAGCCTGCAGTGTATGTGGGAGCTGTCGCGTCGGGAGATAAGGTAATAAAGTCGGCAGCGGAACGGGACAAGCTTTCGACAAAAGCAGACGTAATCGCGTTCGAGATGGAGGGCGCCGGGGTCTGGGATGAAGTGCCCTGTATCGTCGTTAAAGGAGTGTGCAACTATGCGGACAGTCACAAGCACGAGAGATGGCAGAATTTTGCGGCGGCGGCGGCGTCGGCGGCAACCAGAGCAATTCTAGCACGCTATATCCGAACTGACAAGCTCTGAAGACATGTCTATATCTAGCTTCGGAGAACGTTTCGTTATTTTGCTTGTTTTGCGGCTGGTTACAAATAGGACAAGCCTCATCACATCCTCCTCCCAACGGCTATTGGCCCTTACCTCTTAGTTTCAGTTGGAAAATGTGGTTCAGAATGTTAGTGACGATAGCACGATAACTCTAATTCGCCTCGTACCGTGGTTATTACAGAATGGTTGACATATACAGTTATGGGCCAAAAGTCTGCGAACGCAAAAAAAATAAAAGTACACCAAGTTTAGGAGGGGGATAGAAAACTAGGTAGTTGCAGCTTTAATCCAAAACAGGTGCTGCAACATGAAATATAACAGGGAGATATTACTAAAATATAAAATGCTTATCGACTATTCTTAGATTTGATTTTTAATTAGTTGCGTATATATTTTGTAGATTTAATTATTAATTTATCGATACCGTAACTTTTGGTGGTATTTAGTACAGCGTTCGCAGACTTTTGTGCCAATACTGTAATTTCCATTCCACATTAATCGTGCCTTAGGTTTGCCCATAATAGCCGCTCTGGCTCCTAGCCAGTGAATGGTATAAATGCCAAGACACTCCTTGCAACTCTCAGATGTCTTCTTAAGATACGTGCTGAGACTCCTCACTATATGAGAAGTTAGAGTCACATTCTTGAGAATCGCCTGCGCTGTTACCTAACCAACTAACTACCTGAATAATCATTTACGGTATCATTCTGATTTACGGTTGCTGGTCTATTTCCAGGTATTGCCTCTTCAACCCTAGACGTGAGCCTGCTCCTTCAGGTTCGGCCAATTATTCAGCAAACTAGTAACAACCGGAGGTGTTGACGTTGTCGCTGCTTGGAGCTTTGGCTGACAGAAGGAAAGAGAAAGGAAAAGGATCGCATAATTCTCCATATACCATAAAAGGGAAGCCAGCTTATTGGGAAAAACCTTATGCTGTTATCCATAAATTCGGCAGTCGGGCCTTAAGAGGTTGTCGGGCAGCGGAAGCTGCAGTTGAAGAGTCCATTAATGCGTGTTACGGGGACCGTGATCTTCGGGCGTTACGTATGTAAATACGAGAGTTACCGGCTTTTGCGACGATCAAATTATGCATTCCCATGCTAACTTGGTCAATCCATCCGATCACTTGAGCTCATGACTCATTATCCAGCATGTTTACGCCACGCCAAAATCACCCCTAGTAGAACAAAGTGCATCCAAGAGATGTCAATCTATTGGCCAAGAGCAATTGTGCGGTGCTGGAAATGCGCCAGAAGCTAGCACGATTGACTAATGATTGGCGTTGGCGGCTTGTATTTGTGTGCATGGCATCGTACCGGACGAAATTACCCTGCAAGAAGCCGGTTTGCTGTGGTTACGACGCTTTTGGTGTCCGCTATCTACATATGACTCTATACCTGGATGCTCAATTTCATGGTAGTAGTCGTGTTTGGTAGAAAGTCTTTTATTCTTAACATCCGCAAACTCGCCAGAGAAGTGGTAGCCATATGCTGTTTATTCGGGTTGCTGCGACAAAGGACCCTGAACTAAAAGAACAAATATATTCACGCAATGGCGCGTCTCTGTCAGAATAATCTAGTCGCGGGATACTGAAGTTACATCCATTGGATATTGACCGTGAAGTGCTAAGCCACAGGATCGACCCGTCATTTCTCATATCCAGGATGAGGTTGGTACCTGCATTACTGTTTGCATCATCGTCTTCACTAAAATAACTCATACTCTAGCGGTCATATTTATTAATAGCAATGGAAGTGGTTCGAGTAATGAAATATAATGATCATACAACAATCGAATTCTTAGGTCATTTGGAGAAGATAAATCTCCGTGTTTCTGACTCCTTGCCCCTGTCTCCGATGCAACAGCTAGGCTGTGGCTGAACTTCCTTAAGGTAGCATGTACTCCGTGGTTGTAGAAAAGCCTGTTTTCTGATAGGAGAGTTGCATAAAATCTATCGACTCATTGGGCAATGCACATTGAGCCGGTCTCCTAATGACCCGCTCAGCTCTCATCTGGAATCGGGCTCTTGCGATGCCCCTGAGGAGTTTGCCACAGAGATCCCAGGACAATGAAGAATCAGTTGGGATGCATATGGTTCAGATTCCGTACGAAACGGAGGCTGCCTATGATAGGCAAATCGATGCGTAAAATTGTTCAATGTCTGCTATCATCTTTGCCGTCCATCAATGTAATGTTGCTGCGATGTGTTCAATCTAACCAAGAGTTCAGTATTCTCATTTGCGACGTCCTTCCAGGAATGTGAACCCGAAGTGGCAAACGGATAAAACTTGAACGCTATCTATAAATAAGTCGCTCGTTGAAGAACGGCCCCCCCCCCCAAAAAAAGCGGTTGCTGGCTTTCAGATCGTCTCTCGCCACCTACCGACCATATCCATGCTCCTAGGGCTACTTTACAACTACAATCCCTGTATGATGATTGATATATGATGACAGAATATTATTATGAGCCCCCTTGACATCCAGTTATTGGTTCAGGTACGGCTCATAGTTCTCATGTTGATTTGATGGATAACGAAACAGGATGCAACCTCTGGTGACATAAAATCCCCCTAGCTTTAGTAGATGGGTTGGTGCTAGGAACGTGAAATTGGATATAAATATCTCTTTCATCTCTTGTCTCCAAATCAAAAAGCAGCTCAGATGACAAACACTGTAACGCACCCGTTCAAACATTCACACGTTCAGCTTTAGCTTTTATTGACAATTCATCCACTCGATTCAAGATGAAGTCCTTTGCTGCTGCTGTTCTATTCATCGCTGGCATCCTCGCTGCCCCTTCGCCCAATGCGAAGGCAATCAGAAGCCCACTTTGTCCCGGCGGTCTCGAATCTAACCCCCAGTGTTGTTCCACTGATGTTCTTGGTATCGCTGACTTGGATTGTGCAAATCGTAAGCAATCTCATGAAAATACATGGTTTATTCCATTTGAAGATACTGACTGCTCAAAAATTAGCCTCCAGCCCTGTCACTGATGTACAGTCTTTCCGGGCTGTTTGCGCTGCTGGAGGCCAACGGGCTCGTTGCTGTGCTATCCCAGTTGTAAGTTGCGATACGTATACCTAAACCACATGAACATACGGATCAGATGCTCACGACTTCCTGACAGGCTGGCCAAGCGCTGCTTTGTGAGAGCCCTGTCGGCATTTAACCAGAACCGGACCACCAGTAACAAAAGTCTCTACCTATACCGACAGAGAACACCGCTTGGCAGAATAGGGACCCAGAGTATAAGAAGCTAGGGCTAGAATGTACACATGTATCAATTGGCCTACAAGATAGTAAATAGTAAACGTTCATATAAGAGATTTGATTTGTTTATAATACGCTCGTATTCGTTTCCTGAATGTCAACTGTAAATATTTGATCAATATATGCAATACTGTTGGGAGATAAACAACTAAATGCCACCGTACCATCGTTACCCGACATATTTGTCTTGTAATCTACATCCAGGGCATTGAACGTAAATATGTGTTCAATGTACATTTATTCAGTATCTCAAAGCAAAAGGAAAAGCGATACCTCTATTTTTGTATACAATGAATGCCTTTTATCTCGCGCAAAACCTGTGTGCCTCTCTTGTGGCTGAACTTGTACAATCTTCAACATTGTTTTTGTGTTCGAAATGATGGCAAGCTAGGCAATTGTTCAGCGTCCACTTGGTTGAACAAAAGATGAAACGAACTCCTTCTTAAGATGCAAACTTATAAGTACTCCAATGTGGCATGAAGTTTAAAAATCACATTCGAATTAACGATTCCAGATATTAACCTGTTCGCAGTGTCCCTGATATCGTTGCAGAGGACCCCTATTTCCCCCCTCGACAATGGCCAACTCCGAGATGATCACCTTTGGCTGGGAACTAGAGCTGATTGTGCACTTACAGGAAGGAGAGCCTGCTGGTCTCGAATTACAGGCCAAAAAATTACGTGAGCTGGCATTAAGCCTTAAATATCAAGCGCCAGATCTGCCCGTGGCCGCTCAATGCTCCCATAACCAACTTTCAACTTGTTGCATCTGTGAGGATGCTCCTCCCGAATTTCGCAGCTTCTGTTTGAGAGTCTTCACACCAGCTGAGCCTATGTTTGAGCCCGGAGGAAACTCAGAAAACCTGTATTTTCACGTCAAAAAAGAATCACTTTGCGTCCCAGAGGATCAACACGGTAACAGGCTGGCTCATGGTTTTGAGATTACTTCACCTATTTTAGACAATGAGGAGCTCAAATCTGGGCTCCCACAGACTGAAAAAATTGTCTCAGCTATTCGAAATAGCCACTTGAGTATTTCGGCGCACGTAAGGTGTGGTCTTCACATCCATGTGGGTGTAAAGAACGGCATGACATTGAATGTCGCCAAGAAAGCAGCTACATTGGTCATGATGCTTGAGCAACCTCTTTTTACAACATTTTCATCCGTTAGCCGTTCTGAGATTCCTGCCTGGTTCAGCCACATTGGTAAGAAATGCTACTTTGCAACCAAGGCTAGTAGAGAATGCTGCTCCATAACGAGAGAAAACACGAGCCGACAGTTACTCGAACATTTGCCTATTCTTCCTTCGCAACTGCAACCGGCTGAGTGGAACGACAGCAATCCCAACAAGTGGTATCTTGCCCTGAATTATATCTGGCTAACAGACAATATGTGGAGGCTCTCAACTGGACTACTAACAGATGGAGGCGCAAAGGCCAGCTTGGCTTTGTGTACTCGCACAAAGCGTGGAAAACCAGCATACGAGAATGATGTTTCTAATCGCAATGGCACGGGCGGACTTAATGGATCGCCATCGACGATAGAGTTTAGGTACCCGCCAACAAGCTTCGATATCGAATTCATCAAGTGCTGGGCCGAGATCTCATGCAAAGTTGTAGAGATTGCTACGCGCGACACTTCGGCTTTTAGTAAAGTGGCTGCAGATTTGCTCCAGGAGTTGCAAAGGGATGAGAAAGAGTCTGCTTTACCTATGTGGGCACGAATTCTCAATGTTCTCGACTTGGGCCATCAGATTGACTTTTGGAAGCAGCAGTTGGAGCGGTTTGAAGCTGGCGAGATCATCCGGTTCCTTGATTCAGACGGTTTTGTGTTGCCGGACTATTAGCCAAGGATAAGGTTTTATTGCTTTTGATCATGTTTGTGTTTCGGGCGCATTTATTTTAGATGGAAGCTCATGTCTTCGGGTGTTGCAGAAGTGTATTTATTCAGCTATTTTAGAGGCGTATTGATCAGGCATCAATTAGCAATTGTCATTTTCGGGTTCTTATCACCTTCTCTTCTCCTCTCTCGCTCCATCTGCATAAGTGTGTATGTGTAAAAGCTTTGTCATTATCCATTACCAATCACAATGAAGTATTACTGGTCATTCCAAGAGCATCACGCACTGGTTGATGCTGGCTGGACTCCTGATTTTATATTGGAAGGATTATCATTTCTTAGGCTAAGTCGGGTGGTCGATGCCGCGATGCCGCAATATCCGACTTTCTCTAAGCGTTCAATTAGATGTCAATTTACGCCCTGAGTCTTTTATAACACCATGCGTTATATGAGTCGTTCTTTTGTATCATTTGATGCGCTATAAAACGATCTTCTTGCCCTTTTGAGAAGCATGGCTTGTTGTGTCGATCAGTCTAATGCAGCACAGCCTCTTCCCCCGCTTTCCCTATCATAGCGTGGCTAATCATGACCGAATTGGAGCAATTACACAAAATTCGACCCTTATATATAAATTTGGTCTCGGTCGACACAATAAACCCTACATCTCGTACTAATATCATTCAATAACCTCATTCGGTCGCATAAGTGAAACTTGATATGGCTCCTCAAACCCCCCAGCCACCACCGGACTTCACCTTAGATCCTGCGTCCATAGTTCAACATACTGAGCTGCTAATAGCGGCATCAGCAAAGGTTTGGGATGCTGTAGCTCAGATCTCTCCCGACGAAGCGACATTTTCCAACGCTATTCTGCCTTTAATATGCGATGAAAATGATAGGATGAGTATCTCCCCCCAACTCGGGTTCCTTCATAACGTGTCTCCCTTAAAGGAGCTCCGCGAGGCTTCCAAGGAGGCTAGGAAAATCCTGAACCGCGATAGCATCGGCAGATTTTCTCGAGCAGATGTTTTTAGAGTTGTTAATGCTGTATGGCAGAAACATGAGTCTCTTGATCCGGAGTCGCGGCTCTATGTGGAGAAGCTGCAAACGCAATTCATCAAAACAGGACAGGGGCTCACTGACGAGGCCGTGAAGGCCAAAGTGAAAGATAATCTTGTGAAGATTAATGAGCTCGAGAATGAGCACATTCGAAATCTCGATTCGGATGTCGGCGGTTTGTGGCTTACACTAGATGAGCTGCAAGGTGTCCCGCAGTCTCACCTTGACCGATGGAAGGCAGAGGGCGATAAGCGGTGGATTGATCACAAGATCCCCAACTATACAGCCGTGATGCAACATGCCTTAAGAGATGACATTCGGCAAAAAGTGTGGCTGGACATGGAAAATCGGGCAAAGGGCCTCAATGGAGCCGGCCTCAAAGAGATTCTTGTGCTTAGAGATGAAGTTGCTCGTGCGCTTGGCTACAAGCATCATGCTGAATTGCGAGAGAGTGACAGAATCTTGAAAACAGATGATGCCGTTCATTTCCTGAATCGCATCCGCGATGTTCTTCAAGAACTAGGCACGTGCGAACTTGAGTCTCTAAAGGCATTGAAAGCCAAAAAGACCCGAGAAGAACAATCTCAAGATGCACCCTTGTCTGAACAATTTTTTCCATGGGATAGACCGTTTTTCCAACGCATAGCAAAGCAGAATTCTTTGCAAGTGGATCAAGACGAGGTTGCCGAGTACTTTCCCTTTGACAGATGCCTTTCGAGAATGCTGTCTATTCTTGGTGCCTTATTTGGGGTGAAGTTTCTAAAGTATTCGCGTGATGCTCCTCAGATTACCACGTGGCATGAGGGAGTAGATGTCTACTCTGTATGGGATGAGGAAGCCCAAGGAGGTCATTTTCTCGGATACCTCTATATGGATGTATTTCCGCGGGATAATAAATATGGCCACAAAGGAATGTTCAAAATGAGACCAGTAAGTCCACAAGTACGGGTATCATACAGAGTAACAGCATTACTAACTGATGTACCTTTGTTTTAGGGATATGAACGGCAGGATGGCTCGCGAAACTACCCTTGTTCTGCTTTCATGACAAACTACTCACCCCCAAGCGCTACTCGCCCAAGCCTCTTGAAGATTGCCGAGGTTGTCTCATGCTTCCATGAGCTTGGACACACACTGCACAACCTTACTTCAAAGACCAAATATGCGCGATTTCATGGGTCTTCGGTTCCACGCGATTTCGTTGAGATTCCAAGTATAATGCTAGAAGAAATATTCTGGAACCCTCACGTCGTGCGCATGATATCTGGCCACTACCTGACAGAGCAAGACTCAGAGACTGAGAAGAAGCTGCCAGAAGACATAATTGAAAGACTTATCGCTGACCAGTTTGCGCATACGGGACTTGGCAATCTCTCGACTCTTCATTTTAGCATGTTTGACCTCCTTATTCACACACCTTCTGATCACCAGGCAATTTGTGACATGAATCTTGCGGTGGAGTTCAACAAGCTGCGTAGGGAAATTTGCCTGGTTAGTGGCCCTGAGGATATTGGCTACGAAGCCGATTTTGTTCACAGTTTCTGTCGTTTTCGTTTTCCTATTGGGTACGATACTGCGTATTATACCTATCTGCTGTAAGTAATTTGCGTCTCCATAACACCCGGGATGGCACTGACCTTGGCGCAGATCTCGCTCCCTCAGCTATGACATCTTCAAGACAAAGTTTGAGCCGCTATTGCCTTCTGAAGCTCTGCCCATCACAAAGTCTAATAATGTGGATGATATTATCTCTCATGAAATTCGTCAAGAGTTCCGACGGTATCGAGATATCATCTTGGTGCCAGGAAGCAATGTGGTGTCTTATATGGGACTGTTAAAGGAGTTTTTGGGTAGAGATGCTAATCATGAGGCATGGATTCAGATGCTGAAAGAGAGGGTCGCTGACCGCGCTGCTCAGATGTGAATTACATGGGAGTAATTCTTCCGCTTAATGGGGGAGACTGCATAGGAACATCAAAAGTTGTTGTTTAGGGAAATGCAAATTTGTTCAGATTATTACTAGATGATGCTATTATATGCCTGTGTATTGGCAACGTATGCCTGCTTCAATCCCAGCTCTTACTTTTAACTCATCTATGTTGATATAAGTGGTCACACCTATCGATATTCCTATCATCTCAAACGTGTGTCAAACCGCCTCTCACCTACTTGACTCGCCATTGTCGGCATCCTCTCCCTGCCAGCCCTCGACTGTATTCTTCTTCATCCTCACAAACAGCAAAGTCAGAACTATGGCTGCTCCTGCAAACCCTATCCCCAGGTAAGCTGCCCCCCGATAACCACCCAACAAGTTTAATCCATCCTTATTGATGTAAATCTCGACCGTCCCAGCAAAGCCCAGGCCTGTACTGAGGCCGTATGTAAAGAGAGTTCCAATTAAGGACCCCGCTGTTCCCTGATGTTTTCTCGTCACAATGCTACTGGCGATGATTTGACCAGCAGCAAATACCATATCTCCCGTACATCCAGCCAAGACCATGGCGGGGAATACCATCGCCCAGTAGATTTGGTGAACAGGCATCGTCGCAATGAGGGTGTTCATCACTATTGCACCCAAAGCACCGATACAAACCACCGTTTCCGCTGGTAGCTTGCGCACAACCCATGCCGCAAAGAAAGCGGCGCCCGTACCGCTGACTGCCATTGGCAAGAATGAACATCCCAGCAAGACAGGATCCCAGTTACGCAAGTTCGCCAAGAAGACGGTCACGTACCAGATGTATATGCCCAAGCTCATAAAGACAAAGAATAACACGAGGATAAGCGCACCAAAGGATGGTATTTTCCAGATGTCAAAAGGAATGATTGGACTGACTGCCCATCTTGATTCCCATAGTAAAAATACGGCAAAGTGGCCAATTGCGACGATGAGCAGTATGTACTCATAGGGATTCTTCCAGCCGACTATAGGAGCTTGGCTAGGTGTCCTCGTATTAGTATTGGAGCATTGACTGGTATAATGGGAGGTTTCGCTTACTTCCAGACAAAATTGAACAATACGAGTCCAGCAACGCCAAGATATGAACCTGTCCAATCAATTTTCCCCTCGGGATCCAATCGTTCGTCATCTGGGACTGCAATAATTGCTGCGCCGTAAACAACAGCCCCTAGGACAGCCCTATGTTCTAACATTAGCTCTATTATTTACGTATTTGACGTATTGTAAAAGAGGCCATACAAGAAGAAGAATAACCACGTCCAGTCTGTCCACTGGAGGAAAAAGCCATTAAACACACATCCGCCAGCGCCGCCAACTGGACCCATCGAAGCGAAGAGCGCCAGTGCCAAGTTTCGTTGTCTACCAGGAGGAAATGTGATTGTTAAAAGAGCTACCGCGTTTGGAACAAGGAGGCCACCTCCTATTCCTGCAAGCGCTCTCATGATGCTGATGCCGACGATGTTGGTCCCATACGCCGTGGCCAGTGTCCAAAAGATCCAAACGGCTGCTCCAAGCGTCAAAATTCTCTTATGGCCAAAGACAGTACCAAGCCGACCGCTGATCAAGACAAATGAGCCTTGGGTGAGCGGATATGCCGCGGCGATCCATGTCGATTGGACGTCCGAAGCTCCCACTGCGTGCCCAACTGTGAATGCACCAATGATACCAGCTCCGTAGGCAAACATTTGCACCGCTTGTGTGAGCACAATTAGTATCATGAAAGTATATGCTCTCTTTTTCGATATAGTTGTGGCTCGCGAGGCGGTGGCGTTGAGTGCAGGTAGTTGTCCGCTTTCCAGGTCGTTTCTCGGTATCTGAGACTTCGAACGTTTGAAAGTATTTGCATCTTGACTTGGAAGACTAGATTTCTTTTCGATGTTTGTAGTATTGGCTGTCTCTTCAGATAATGATGAAGAGTCGTACGGGGTAGTTTCAGAGGGCTCTTGCTTCGAGGAGAGCGTCGCGCTGGTTAGATGCGAAGCCATGTTGGCTGTGTGTAAGTGATAAGATCATACTACATAGGAAGCCGTATTCCATAATGTGCTTCGTACAAGACGCCGTTATAACATATTTTGACATCTAAAACAATCGGCTACTAGTATAAGCGATTTGAAGCATCACATAAGCGGTAGAGACGCCATTCGCATTTGTCATCGAGGTGTCTTGTTGCTTGCCTGAGTTACCTTGGCATGAAGTAACATTTTCATGCTTTTTGACTTATCTGATAGGGAGGCTGGGCCACCTGTTGAGACAAGGCATAAGATGCGTTATGTTATTTCCTATTGAGGAAAACCACCATTTCCTTGCAACAGTTAGCGTGGACATCGACGGTGGGGTGTTTTATTTGCTCCATAAGTGTAAACGTATATCCTGTCCTGCAAGATGGCAGGGGAAGGAGGTTTTGATGCCTGAATGGTAAATTAGTTACTTCATAGCATGCTGCCCGTGAAGCAGGTATCCGCAGGATTGTGAATGACTCTCCAATAGTCTTCTATGCCGGCACCATCTCCGGACCTAAGAGAGTAGTCAGTGGAATGGAAGCTGGAGACAGTGCTAGTCCCTAATAAGTGTGTTTACATAGGAGGCATTTGTTCTCGTCTCTTTTGTTGAACGGGTCAAAGATATATACAACATCTATTGCATCCTACCTAAGAGGTACCAAGTAGCTACCTAGTACATGTAGTCATATGCTGGTACGTAGTGGCCATTGTACCTCCGCGACTCTACGCTCTTTTCTTCAACGCGCTATCTGACATCATCCTCTGGTGGTTGGACATGCATGGCTGCTTGGTTCTTGGTTAGCTTGATAGTTGGAGTTTTTTACATATGTGAATGACCAAGTTGCAATGACCACTACCAAGGTACATCCACAGCATAATCCGAGTGTAATGTCGTAAAAGAGCCAGAGTCAGCCCTGGTGCCTGCGTTTATAGTGCGACTTTCACTTGCTCCTGGCCAAAATCGTTTCTGAGCATGGTCACCTAGCAGGATGGGAGTGAAGCTGGGTTCAGCCTTCTATCTGCGCATTTAAATGAGGTGAGTTGGCAGCTACAAGGCAGTGAGATAGGCAACCAAGAATACAAGTATCACTGCGCCAACCCGTATCCATTAGTTCGTCATCGATGGTTCATCAACATCTGCCGCGTTATCTTCCATTAACATCTCGCTCCCACTTATCTATTTTGCTCCTTTTCTTTATTCAACAACATCCATCATGTCGCTACTTTCGAAGCGCTCGCAGAGTCCGAATCAAGCCTTAGATGAGCAAAGTCCCTCCAAAAGATCAAAACAGGAAGAAAAGGTCGACCTCATTGGCGGACCAGATACAAACAAGCCTTTGTTGATCACAGCCGGATGGAAGCTTGCAACAGGATGGATGGAGGAGTGGTCAATTGGAGAGCCGATCCCAGCGGCACTGATTCCACCCAACTACGTACCTAGTCTTCAGTTTCGCGCGCAGATCCCAACAACAGTCCCAGAGGGTCTGATGAAGGAAGCAGTTGATAACTGGCTTTCGTCAGAGTGCAAGACGCGACCAAAGTTCTCACACTTGCTGTTCTCAGAGTCGCTACAAATAAACTTGCGGTTTTTAGCGGGATACCTTGGATTTAACACATCGAGAGAATTCCATGTCTTTGTGGACTTTGAAGGTAACAATCTATTGGAACCCTCTCCTCTCCCAACATCACAAACTCGGCAATCAATCTATCCACCTCGAGTGAATAACTAATGTTGACATTATCCATAGTGCCAAAAACCATCAAACAGTTCATACGACTACAGTATTCACGGAATGAATTGTGCAACGCTAATACCATGAGCATACTTCCTCAGGCGTCAGAGGTATAGGAACGCTTCGAAATGCTGGAGAAAGATCATGGTTGGCTCAAACAGTCTCTTGATGAAAGCGACTCGCAACAAATATTGATAACTAAGGGATGCCCGGCTGAGCTGGTGACAGAGGGGAGCTCCGTCCGTTTGCAAGACATCGATCTAGTGTTGTCGATTCTCTCTGCCGCGTATAAACTGATCAAAGAAAACCCTGGCCGATTTTGCCAAAGGTATCCCTCTGAATCGAACCAATATACCTGGGATATCCACCATGAAGACTGGATGCGGGCCCATGCGGTGACTGTTTACACGATAACAAGACAAATTGAGATGGCCGAGGCATTCAAAACGCCGATACCTGGAGATGAAAAGTACATAGATCTCTCACTTTTGGGAGAATATGACCCGAAATTGAGGTCTGAAATATATGGCTACACAACCACTAGATGGCTGTGCAGAAATGACAAAAAGAATTTGCTCAGCGAGTATAACACGACTACTTCAATGGACTTTATTCAAGAATTGGACATCCTGGATTGCGAACACGACACGGCTAGGATGAATATGACGTCGCAGCTTGCGGAAACCGATGTAACAGATGCATTAAATACAGGTCGGCGATATCAATCCGAAAACGCAGACGAACGGCGTCCTATTACTGAGGATAATACGTGCACCTTGGCCGAGTCTATCACAGATGCAGTATGTGCAGCACTTGATGCCATCTCCCCTGGAGTGGTTATGGGCAATGAGATATACTCGCCAGACATTCCCCTTACCATGAGGCAGCCTCAGATTACTAAGAACGAGGTAGATGCTCTGCAAGTGATGCTTAAAAGACAAGCGTGTCGGGCACAATTCCGTGAGCCCAGCCCAACGGCCGAAAGCACAGCAAACACCCATCCAGACGCTCTGCAAGAAAAAGGCTCCGGGAAGAGTTCTGCTACAAGATTTCGGGCTCTGGTGAAGATGAGAGCCCAGCTGGGAGATAGTCTGCCGCCGAATCAGGATCTGGAAAGCATATGCAGACACAGGCGTATCGACATGAACACTCTGGCTGTCAACCCACATAACCCATCAACGGTAGCAAAGGCGCCGCAGATCCCAGGTAAACCATTATCCTTTTGCTATACTACTCTATATTCTTGGAGGGTAACCCTAACATAATTTTGGCAGATGCGAATCGATTGGCGGAGCTCTTAGCAGGGCCGTTACGAAACGCCATGTTGCTCAGCGAAGGGGGCACCGACAAGCCGTTCGTCACGCTATTGACATTAAAATTCTTGATAGAAGAAAGAGCTCATCAGTTTAAGAATGATGATCTAATTGTTGAAGAAGATGACCGCATTTTCAAGCCTAGCATTATCTTTGTGCCGTCTGCGGTATTGGACCATGTCTTGGCAGAAGTGACCCATTGCTGGTCGGGGGTGGTTGACATCTGGCTGCTCCATAAGGCCAGAAACAACTGCATGGATCCTGATCGGAAAGTAAACACAATTGAGAAAACTGAGGAGCTCCAGAAGCACATTGACCACTGGGCAACAGAGCATCACGACCCCGCTACTGGGCGTGTTCTCCTTTTGACATCATATGAAACTTGGCTAGAGTTTACTTCTGTCTCAAAAGCCGACCGACCGTTGACTAAAAATGAGAAGATGGATGAAAATGAGGCTGTTCAATGCCATAGCTCGCTGAACGTTGACCATAACCACAGCCAATCTGGAATTCAGCAAGGTGCCAAAGCGCCTGCGAATCAGGAACCGCTGGCCCTCAAAAACGCCATGTGGAATGTTGTAATTCTAGACGAATGCCAGGTTATCCAAAACAAGGCTACCGCCTACAATCAGTTGGTAATGCAGCTTGATCGAGATGCTCTTCTTCTCGTGTCGGCCTATCCACTGGCCGCAATTCGAGACCTGTACGTCTATCTCCAATTAATGTGGGATTCAGCATGGCCGTTCAGTTACTCATTTGAGCTTGAACCGACTTTGCGCGAGACTCTTCATGATTCGGGCACATATGGTGCGTTGCTCAGTATTGGAAAAACCGACAAGGATATCCTATTGAATGTAGTTACCGGCGGAAACACTGTGACCGAAAGGTTGAACTGGCGACAAAGGCAGAGATACGACGAGTACCTCGAATTCGTTCTCGGTGGATATGGTCCAGCATACCTGCTTCATCCGGAGCTTTTCAAGGGCCCTGGGTTTTCTGCAAGATATGTGACGGATTCCTTAGTGGCCGTGGTTAGAACAATCCTGGAAATGGTATCCGTGAGACGAGGCCTGCTCACACCTATGAAGCTTCCCAGCGGTGAAGTTACCTGCCTGGGGAAGGACATTGGTGGTTTGGCCGTCCGAACTGTCGAACTCATACCAACAGCCTCGGTTTTACAGAAGATCCAAGATCATATATTAACGGTAGAGGATTACCTTCGTGATGCTAATGATCCAGAAGCGAATACTGAAGGATGCGCATTAAACAACACACTCCACTGCAGATTGTCGATGATGTCAACAGATGTCAAAAATGTAGCCTTGATGACTCCCACCAGGAGGCTATTGAAGAGGCTGTCACGCCTCCAACAAGGTGCGAACCGTCTCATATCCGAACGGCCAGCAGAGGACGACGACGAAGTAGATGTGCTTGATACCACTGGCGGTCTGCATTGGCTATTTTACAATACGAGAGACTCACAGAGCTATGGATTTCCCACGGACAAGATGAACCAAGTCAGATATGCTGTATGGGACAGTCCGAAATACTGCCACGTGCTATTGAGGGCTTTCGAGGCCCAGCAGCTGGGAGAGAAACTACTGGTACTGGCAAATAATCCATGGACGTGTCGGTAAGTTGGCCTATTTTCATTAATTCTGCTTGCGTCCTGGGCTTGAAGATTGTTTATTAACCAATGCCAATTCTTTTCTCGAATAGGATTATGAATGCACTCCTTGTGGCATGTGGAATAAAGAGCTTGCATTGTACGCCAAGACACTCTCTATCTGAGATTAAGGAAGCCATCGAGGATTGTAATGATGAGCTATCACCGTACACATGCCTCGTGACAACTCTGCAACAGTCGACCCATGGCCTGAATTTGCATGAATCATGTTGTCGAGGCATTATCATGGAACTTCCAATAGATTATGCCACAGTGGCGCACGCAATAAGTCGCCTTTGGCGTATCGGGCAAAGGAACGACGTCAGCTGGGAGATTCTCATCGCGAGACATAGCTTTGACTCTTTCATGGAGACGAAAATGCTGGATCGATACGCTGGTATAATCGAAGTTACAGGACGTATCAATGATGCAATTACTGGTGAAGCGCGAAAAATTTGCGCTTTTGAGATTATGAGGCAGCAGCTCGGACAAGAATGCTCACGATACCCCAGAGTGGGAGTTCCATGGGATCAATTGGACGAGGACAAGATGCGCCAAGAAGGATACTTTTACTCGGCGCTTGCCGAATTCTTTTTCAAGAATCCAACAAAGGCCTATTTAGTACGCCCGGACAACGTTTGCGAGATTGCTCGAGCCTGGAAGTTTGGGATGAAAATCACGACAGCCATGGTAGAGCATCCAATTCCGTTGAAGGATGGAGAGGGTTTGGCGATTCGGAACTTCACAGGCCTAATGAGACCTTGTGTGAGGAAGCAAGAGAGCCGTGAGGAGAAGAGGCCAAGATTCCTGCCATAATGATGGGCAAGGTGCTATACAGCACAACCATGCTAGGCTTCACGGGGCAGGGGGGGAATACATTGCTTTTCTATATGACTTATACTATGTTTAGCTCTAGATTAGCTGACTGGTGTGGATGTGGGGAGAGTACTCCATAGTGTCCGTAGAGTAGTCTTAATACATCGCTTACTTGCGACAAACGGTGCTGGTGATTCTTGCTGGTTATTTGGAGAAAGCCATTGATGGGCTGTAACCCATTCTTCTTATGTTTTCTGCTGAAGCTGTGCGTATTTGTGTCCATTCGTCAATTATTGTGTAACAGTGTAGTTATCCTAGACTAAAAAAGCTGTATACAACACATGCACTCGTCCTCACTAGGATGGTTAATTGTCACATGCCGAAACAAAAACGTCAATCTCCAAACCCGCCAATTCTCGCCAAGCACATGAAAGAGAAGACGTAAAAAAGGAGAAATAAAAGCCAAGAAGCCGCGGCTGCAACAAGTGCCTTTACCCCAGATCTCACCCCACACACCCATTTGATGCTCTCCCCGCTCTTTGCGCCTAAATTACATGGGATGTAATCCCAGCTCTTCCCCGCAAGTTGCATGTGAGTGAGTTGTTCCTGGGGAAAAAAAGAAAAACAAAGTACCGACGGGCTTGAAGGAATAGAGAATTGGAGGGCTTTGCTGGATCGCGGGCTGGGGGGCTTTTCCTTGTCTGGTTTGGTGTGTATGTTGTGGTGGGTTGGGAGCTGCCTGATTTGGGTATGGGTCCGGGGAGAGGGAGTGACGATCAGTCTTGTTTTTGGTGGTGATGGGTGTGTTTGTGAGGTTGTATTATTGTTAATGCAATTACATTATGGTTGAATGGGAGTGGAAGGGACTAGAGCTGATGGATGACATGGATTAGATGACGAGGATTGGGAGGATGAGTGGGAGTGGTTAGTTGGCTGGAGGGGAATACGAGGGTATATAAAGATGGCGGATGACGGCTGTGTTTTTTACAAGAGGAAGAGTTGATGCTGCACTGAGTGTTTACTTGTTGCTTAGCTTTCATAATATTGGGGCTCGAGCTGTGAAAGAGTTGATTCCAACTTGTTCCCTGTCGTTGATCACATATACTCACATCAACAACACAACAAGCCTCCTCCTTGTATATATCATCAACAACATCAACTCTATCACAAACATATACACCTGTCAACAAACCTCCAAAATGCAACTCCGTTTCCTCCCCCTCCTCACTCTCATCACCCCCCTCCTCGCTGCTACAACTCCCGACCCAAACCCCATCCTCACAGCCATCAACACAATCTCCACCGACACAACCGCCCTCAACACCACCGTCGCAAGCTGGGACGGCAACGTCCTCACGCTCCTCGAAATCACAGTCCAATCCGCCAAGCTCCTCGCCGCCATCAACAAGGGTACGAAGACGGCCAACAACGCCGCCAACCTCACCTTTGCGCAGACCCTGGACGTGGCTACCGCGACGCTGAACCTCGCGACGGGCGTCAATCAGACTATTACCACGATTGTGGGCGCGAAACCAAAGTTCGATAAGCTGTTGGTGGTGGATCCGGTGATTTTGCTCAACTTGAAGCTGGAGCAGGATGCGTCGAGGGAGTTTTCGGATGCGGTTGTAGCGAAGGTGCCGGCGGATTTGCAGAGCATTGCGAAGGGGCTGACGCAGGGAATTGACGATAGCTTTTCGGAGGGAATTGCTGTGTATGAAACGTGGTGATGATAATGATTTTTGATGACGATCGTGGTATTAGTTGATTCGTATCTATACAAGTCAGCTCATGAAATGAAAAATGCCACAAGCTGTTTGAAAAAACCATATGCCGTGATTGATATTCAACTGATACATGTATGTACAGCGCCATTGACTCTTTTCTTTCTTCTTCTTTTCTTTTCAGCCTTCTCTTAATCCATCTCATCCACCGTCTGCGCATCCACCTCGTGCGTCTCCGCTCCCGCAACGCCCTTGCCATCAGCCTCCGTAACGGCAAAACGCCAGCCAAACTTATCCTCCTTCTTACCCAGCTGAATGCCCTTCAGATCCGTCAACACCTTGAGGCAGACAGGTCCGGCATCCTCCTGGCCCTCAGGGATGTACGTCACAGTCTCGGCATCGGCCGTCTTCGTCACGTTGGCGCCGGCAGCAAAGCCGCTGGTGCCGCGGCGGGTGATGCTCCGGATGGGCACCAGCGCGGCGGCCGTTCCGGCGGCAAAGACCTCGCTGAAGGACGGCAGCTCGGCGTACTTGATGACGCGCTTCTCGACCTTCCAGCCGTAGCTCTTGGCCAGCGTTAGGACGCTGTTGCTGGTGACGCTGTCGATGACGCACTTGGAGTCGGGCACCACCAGCGTGATGTCGTCACTGCCGCCGCTGCCCGTCTTGACGCCGATGAAGCCGCTGGTGCTGAACTCGTCAATGTCCTCGTGCCTGGTGCTGTCCAGGTGCAGCGTGATTCCGTAGCCCTCGGTCCGCGCCTTGTCGCTCCATCGCAGGACGGGCGCATAGTTGCCGCCGACCTTTGCGTGGCCGGTGCCGTTGGGCGCCGCGCGGTCGAACTCGTCCAGGATCAGCGCCTTGACGGGGTGCGAGCCGTGGTAGACGCCCGTGGGGATGACGAAGACGCAGAAGGTGTATTCCTCGGGCGCAGACAGGCCCAGTTGGGCGCTGGATCCGTAGATCTGGGGGCGGATGTACATGGCGGCGCTCGTCTCGTGCGGTGGCACATAGCCGGCATTGAGCGCCACGGCGGCCTTGACGGCCTGGAGGAACAGCTCGACGGGCACGGGAGGCATGCAGGCAACCTCGGCCGAGTGTTGCATCCTCACGGCGTTGCGGTCCGGGCGGAAGATGGAGATGCTGTCGTTACCAGGCAGGCGGAAGGCTTTGAGGCCCTCGTAGGCCTGCTGGCCGTAGTTGAGCGCCGGCGCCATGCCGTGGATGCGCATGTACGGGTCTGAGACGTACTTGATGGGCGTCCATTTGCCCGTCGTGAGCGAGTAAGTCGATTCGATGTGGCCGTTGACTGGACAAGACGAAGAGACAGCCGGTTAGTCACAGGCAATGCAACAAACGAAGCTACATATCCATCATCGGCTTGGGGAACTAACCTTCGTGGACTCGGAATCCGACATTGGACCAGTCAATGGTGTTGACCGGCGGCGGAGGAAAGGCACCCATGATGGAAAGAAGCTGATTTGTCTCTTGTCGTCAAAGCTGCGACAAGTCTGAATAGTTCAATTGACTCGAAAGCAATTCAAGTCGAGAAAGCTCCGGTGGATCCTGGAATCGGTCAAAACCCAAACAAACTGGAGAACCCAGAATAAAAAAAGAGGAGAGTAAAAAAAGGCGCCACGTCGATCACAGTAAGAACTAAAAAAAAAAAAAACTCACTCTGCTAAAGAAGAAAAAAAGAATAACGTCAGAGTGTACAAGTAAAAGAAAAGCAGCCCAATTGTTGAGACCCAATTGCTATTTTGTTCCCCCCACAACGGGAGTCTTCGATTTCTGTTTGCATCCATTTCCCCGGACAAATAAATGACACCATCAAAGGCAGAGCCGATTTCGCTCGGGCCTCTCCGCTTCCGGCGATTGAGTTGCTTCAGGGCTCCGCAAATGTCCCCAGAAAATTGAATGCCTGGGACCTTCTAAAAAAGGTTCACATGGCAGAAGGAATCACGGCAGCACTAAGTTGTCTTGGGAAGTAGTAGAGCCTATTTGCGTTGGTTCTGCCGAGGAAAAATAAGAGTAAGAAGTCCGTAAGACCCGGTGTCAAGTTAGGCGAGGTATGACGGATGACGCCGCATTCTTTAAGAGCATACTATTCGAATAATACGAATAACCCGCAGCTTGATTGGACAGCTGGCTTGAGCTGTATCAGCTTCATCTAGAGACGCCATGATCCCGTATCACGCCATACATCATCATCATGATCATCTAGCAATATTGTTTACCATTATTTCCAAACAAGAGCCCGTGGCAAGAGCCATGTCCAACGCCCAGTTCTCCACCAGCTCATCCAATCATCCTCCAGATCTGTGTCATGGTGGCCCGTAGCTTCGACACAGCTCTCAGTAGATTAGGAACCAAGTGGCGAATTAGCTTTCTTAGCTACAGAAAAGAGACATATACAATCATCGAGATCACTCCATCGGTATGATTACTAGCCCGTTCAGGCTTGCACAAGAGTGCCGATGCCAAGCGAGCCCAGAGATGTAGAATGCATCTAATGTAAATCCATTGTTGATGCACGCGAGCGCTTATACCTAATAGCTATGTACCGTACGCATGCCTCCCAATTCGTGTCTATGTTGCCGCTCATGCCAGACAGAAAGAAGGAAAAAAAGCTAAGAATACATAGGAGAAGCACGAGGTAGAGGATATAATGTTTGTAGAGTTGAGTCAAATCGAAACACGCAGACCTATTCAAATGGTAATGACAGTTTTCACCCTTGCTTCTCTCTCGACTCAAATACTCCACTAAGTACGTATTGCGAAAGGGGGTGCTCGTGCTATGTATGGACTCATTCATCGTGTAAACGATCTTCATGAAGCCATGTCCAGGTATATAATTCAAACTCCACTCGTATCCATACGCCTCCATTTTCATGTACCTGAGACGCCTTGCACGACAAGAAAACATATATAGAGAGAAAAAAAAAAAGATAAGAAACATGGCCAAGTAAAAAAAAAAAAAAACAATAAAAAAACAGATAGAAAGAAGAGCGGGGGAGGGGTTGGGAATAAGGCGAACCACTGAAGCAATCAACTACGCTTCTCATGAAACAGACGCAAGTCGCTGAAGGCAGTTAAGGACACCTGTGTGAAATATTAGTCTCTCTTGTTTAATCATCCCAATAATTTCAACAGGAGACATCTTACCGCTCACGCCCTGTGTCAGAGTAGCTGTGGCCTCGGTGTTTCGGCTGCCAAGGCTCACTGTAATAACATCCTTGATCTGCTTCTGGCTGCCCAGGCTGTTTGCCCACTTAAACACCTTTTCGTCTTCTCGTCCGTCACCGACAACCATTAAGAAGTCGACGGGCTGCTCGTGTACCTCGTTCGAGTTCATGTGCTCTCCGAGTTGCTCAAACACTCGCTGCGCCGCAGTGCACTTGGTCCAATCCAAAGGCTCGACCAAGATGGCGCCGTCCACTGCCAGGGCATGTACTCGCTGCGACTCGCAGGCATCGTTGACGTGGCTAGCGCAGTCAGATGCCTGGCGAGATGCTGATTCGTAGTCCTCGGCGTTGTTGTAGTGGAAGAGCAGACTGCAGCGTCGCTCCTCGATTTGCGTGCCGGGTGTTCTCTCGAGGTAGTACTGCATGATGGGCTTGACTGATTCCTTCCAGTTAGTGATCTGGCACGCATCGGCCATCTCCACCCATTCATCTTTGCCGCAGTCCTTGAGGAAACAGCCGTTCTCAGCAATCAGGCCCAGGTTCGGCACGCGGCGGAACACTCGATCCAGCTCCTCCGGCCGTCGGCCAGACATGACATAGACAGTGTTTCGTTCGTCCATCAGCAGGTCGTTGAGCACATCCAACGTTCGCTGCGGGCTAACTGGGATGATTTGGTTCACAGGGCCCCAGCTGACAAGTGTGCCTTCATAATCCAGAATAAATAGTCGTCGCTGAGCATTCACGTACTTGGTGGAGACTGAGTTCATCGAGAGCCGGGGCACATAGGTCTGGTCGCGCTTGTGTTGCTCCTCGTATGACCGGTCCAGATGGCTGAGGAACTCGGTAAACCAGTGGGAGCCGGTTTGGTGCACCACGCACTTGTACAGCTTCTCCCAACGGCGTGTCTTTTCTTCCTCACCCATCTCGAGCGCCTGCTTGATTGCGTCGGCGCACTGTCGGTAATCCCAAGGATTTACCGACAACTCGTTCTTACCGAACAACGATGATGTTCCAGTAAACTCGGACAAGATGAGAGAGCCGTGCTTCTTATCGGGGAAGATCTTGCCATCCTGACAAAACAGGTATTCGTGTGAGGTGAGGTTCATGCCTTCACGCTGGCTGGTGATCATGAGTGCGTCGGCAATGGAGAGGAGGGCGAGGTATTGAGCATAGTCAATATCCTGCTTGAGATAGACGACCGGCTGGTAAGCCAGATTTGCCCATGACGAGTTCACGCGCGTAACAATGTCGGAGACGGCAGCATCAAGCTCGGTGGGCTCGCCCGAAGACAGCGCTACTTGGATCAAGACAGTGTTCTCGCGCCATTCCGGATTCTTATTCAGGAACAGCTCGTATGCCAACAACTTTTGCCTGACTCCTCGCACATGGTCGAGCTTGTCTCGTGCGACAATGAGTTTCTTTCCTTGGTAGCGCTCTTGCATGATGGCAAGCCATTTCATCACCTCGGTTTCCTCGCGGTGCTTGTTAAGGCTGACGGGATCAATGCCAATGGCATTGTGCACAACCTCAACGAAGCGGTCTTCTAGCTGCAGGCCTTCCGGTGTTGCTTCGACAGTGAGGATGCGGCTGCAAGTAAGCAAGAAGTGCCGAGTGTATTCCTGAATCTGGAAGCCAATGAGGTTGGCTCCCAGCATACCCTCGAGGAGCTCCTTTCGAACGGCCAGGCAGCGGAAGACTTCGGACGAGGGGAAAGCAACGTGCAAGAAGAAGCCAATTTTGGCCTCGGGCAGCTTCTTGCGGATCATGCCAGGGACAAGCAGCAGGTGGTAGTCGTGGATCCAGATGACATCG